GGAGAGCAACCTTTCGGTAGTACTCTGAGGATTTGTACCACTTGTTTCTCAGGATAATCTAGCTTTATTTATTATCAGTTTACACGTGTTCTTAACCTTATTGTAGGTGGATCCGAATTATTTAGTATTTGTAAAGGTAATCAGGTTCTGACGTCTTTTTCTACATTTAAGACGTTTATCGACCTTATTTGTCGTCCATCGTGGATAGTTTGTAGGTATGCATGAAGTTATCTAGGATTAAATAAGAGCGCTACTCAGTTAAGTTTACTTTTAAACTTAAACCATACTTCTTCTATTGAAGAGCTAGCACTGACCAGTACGTTGCTGCAACACATTCCATGACTGCTGAAACTTTTGCTTACCACACATTTGAGAGAGGTTGAATCTGATCATAAGCTATATCACAGGCTCTGAACCTCAATGATAAAGCTGTATGATTACTAATAGTTAGCCCGTTATAGACATTGAGACAAGCAATATCCTCAGTTTCATGTGTGAGTAGTAAGTCTAGTGAATAACTTACGGATTTATGTGCATTTTTTTACTAAAGCAATCATAATTTCTACTATTAAATGTATTTTCTTATCTAAGAAAGGATGAATCTTTCCAATTTACATCAGACGCATTGGAAACCCCCAAATGTCATGTCCCAGTATATTTCAGCTCCAGAGCTTAGTGTTACAGAACGGGGTCAGTCAGGCAGATTGAGTTATAACAGATGGCACCTAGTATAAATATACAACTTTTAAGATTGATTTCACACAGTGTGCTTTCACTAGACTCGTAAGCAAATAAACGTTTATACATTCTATCTTTGATATATAGGAGCGATCCACCCATTTTTCGATATCCATCATATCCACTTCGTATTTGAGTGTGAAATAACGGTTTTAAAATAATTTCGGACTTATGTGCTAATCAAGTTTCTTCTTACCCATTCCTACTAATTATCTGACATGAAGTTCCAATGAATCATCCTGTTATATGTTGCAGATATTTATCCAGACTTCACCTAAATTATTAGCGCGTCTGCTATTTGTATTAGAGTAATCTGACCACGTAAAATTCCTCAGTACAATGCAAAGTCTGGCATAGCCGAAGAAAGATACCAGAAGTATACAAGAGATGCTGGCAGATAACACGAATAAGAGAAAGTAAAAGTAACCACAAAACTAGTCAAAATTTTAAAGTTTAGTCGAATTAGTGGAGGATAAAGTTTACTAAATATGTCTTTCATTCCGTACACACATTAAATCAAAGTTAATCTGCAAGTTTGAAAATCACTGCTTTGACCGTCGTAAGTTCTTTTAATGAATTGATAAACGCAGAATTTTGATTAAAAAATACGTGAATTACTCGCTTGATCGTTTAAGTTCTTTACATAGTCTTCAAAAATAAATACCCTTTGTTTAAAACGGCTTTTTTGACAAATAATATTAAGTTCCTCAACAAATGGATGATTAGATTTTTTGACTTCGGTGATTTAAATATTGGTAACTTTTCAAGATAGAAGTGTAATGCAGAAGACATGTTAATTTTGATGACTATGAAAGAACTAGTTTAGCCTTAGTTATCTTAGATTATGAGAATGGTTTTGAAATGACCTCTCTTTTGCAGTAGATAACTTGCAAATGAATTAGGAACGTTTAGCTAAGCAACCACATGGCATATACTGATTTGATGATTTAACAGTAGAGCAGTTGGTCGCTTTGAAAACTTGTATTCTTCCAATTGTAATTACATCTTAGGAGACCGAAACCTTTTAAGGATTATGTTTATAAAATATATGTTTTGTGCTGAATTTAGCCATCTAAACACATTACTGAAAATTCTTTGTTTATAATTTTTGTTTATTCATATGAAAATGATATTTAACTAAATGAACGATAGTGTAAAGACCTTTAACTACAGAGCACTACAAAAGCATGAGTACAATCCGATTCTAATATATGGATATTACATCATTTTTGTAGCAGTTTATTCAATGTTACTCAAAGATCTTTAGCGTAAGAGATTTAAATTAAGCCATGGGTTTGAGTTTACGTTTTTAACTTTTCGAACTGATTTATGTGCTGTTGTAAAACTAAATATGGACGGGAATTATTGTATGATTAATAAATATTATTTAACACATATAGAAACTTTTCGACGATGCTTCCTCCCTACCTCCCTAAAATTAGCTTTATGATCTGAACTTTTCCGTGAACTTTGTACTTGTTACAATGTTTGAACCAATAGTAATGGCAAAATACTTTCTGTTTTGTCTTATATATCGAAAATTTATACAGGAATTTGTGTATTTTAGACACGATCAATATAAAATCCAATCAAACTAACTTTAAGCAATAAATTCGACTTACTTTATATAAATTACAGACAGTTTAAGTACCGAAAATATCAAGACAATACCCGACTGATGAATATTGGACTGAAATAAATATTTACTAATTAAAACTGTCCAACCACTTTGAATTCACTTCAAACACTCGGTTCAGAGAAAAAGGTAATGACTGATTAATAGTGAAGTAAACGATGTAAAGGTGATAACGTGATTACCAACTACCTACAAGATCATTATTACTTGAATTTCGATCAGGAAGTTATAATTTCAGCCAATTTAAGGTTAAGACATTATCTCAATGATGAAATTGGATGAAGATTGAGCTTCATTCAAAACTGATTGAATCAAGTATTATGGGCTTGTGCATTTTTGTTCAATAATCTAGATATATCAAGCCCACCACATGACATGAAGACTTATCCTGATAAGGATTTCCAACTATGAATGATTTAGTTGTCCAGATTGCTATTATGTTCAATGATTCTTGTATAATGTGTGTACCTAACTAAATTTACTTTCAAACATCAAACAGCTAATCAACAATAAAACAGAAAGCGAACACATAAGTAATAAGAACTGCCTTTTGCTATCATCTTCAGTAGGATTAGACACCTAAAAAAGATACTTGTTAACAAAATTAAATTATTTTTACTGATTAAAGATAATCTTGTCCGACAGATGAATATAATTGCGTTGATCCTCTAACCTATAATGTATCAATTGGAGACTGTAAGTTTGTCAACACTTGCATAACTGAAGCAAATACTATTAAAAATACGATATATAAATCATAGTATTATAATAAAAACAAAAATGGGTATATATATATATATATATATGTATATATATATATATCTTATAAATGAAATAATATATTTGTAATATCCCAATGAGTAGAAAAATTAGATTTTCTAACTTTTCGTGACTTGGTGTAAGCCACTTCTTCAGAGAGTAAATAACCAAATGGATTTGGTCTGATATTAGATCTAATTTTTCTGCTCATTGGGATTATTTACTTAATTACTTACGCCTGTTACCCCTCGTAGAGGAGCATAGGTCACCAATCAGCACTCTCCATCCAACTCTGTCCTGGGCAGTCCTTTTCAGTTGTTATTCATTCTTTTCATATCTGCTTCAATCTTCCGGCATAATGTCTCCTTTGGCCTTCCTCTTTTCAGCTTTCCCTCAGGAATCCAAGTTAGGGTTTGTCTCGTGATGCATTTTGGTGACTTTCTTAATGTATGTCCGATCCACTTCCAAAGTCTCTTCATAATTTCCTCTTCAGCTGGAAGCTCGTTTGTCCTCTTCCATATAAGGCTGTTGCTGATGGTATCCAGCCAGTGAATGTTGAGTATTTTACGTAGACAACTGTTTATAAATACTTGCACTTTATTGACTCATTGGGATATTACAAATATATTATTTTTATCTATAACAATCTATCCAATGCTCAATTTATTCGGAAATTATCAAGTCAAACCTGAGTAATGATACCGATCTTCAACTATCAGTTTTCATAAATTTCATCATTACAGATTTTTTAAAAACGCCTTACACTTTTCTAATATTAATCGTTGAGAAAAGAAAAGAAAGTATAAATCATACAATTGTTGAATTTCGTTTTATTTTCTTGAAAAAGCTTGAATTAGATTGCCGGACGAAACGTTGGATTTACTTCAAATTCATTCGCTGAAATTTTACAAATACATTCTTCCTTCTTAATGTTTCACATCAACTTAGCACCCAAATACTGTGAAACTATTCTCTTTAATTTAAACGAAAGTTCTTATAGATGAATTTTGTTTGTATTTTAACTTATTTATATACAGAAAAAAATTATTGAAAGTCATTAAAGGAAAAGTATTTTTTCAAAGTATATGTATCTTTCCAATTAGGAATCCAATAGAAATTTATTTCGATAGTGTAATAAGAAAACGAATATTATCAGAACTATATGACGGTATATTAGCGCAATACATTCCGAACAATCTGATTTCACATATACTTGTTAAGAACATCTATATATAAAAATAAAAGGTCAACTAGACTGGAAATGGGGGGGGGTGAGTGGATAGTAACAATAATAATAATTATTATAATATGAAAACAATTAGAAACCTAATTACTCTAGATCTCTAATCTAATATTACCAGGGTAGGTTTAAGATGAGAGCAAATTGTTTTTGAATAAACAAAGATGTTTGCATTTTCGCATGGCTAAGGCTTCAATAAACCTTAGTATACTCCCTTTTACACTTTTATACAACACTACAAAAGCCGAGTTAAGATCAATCTTATAGCTTGTTTCGATTACGTATTTAGCAATAGAGGATGATGGATGTTTATCGTCTACTCTTATCGGGTCATTTGATTCGACTTGTTTTCGCAACCATTTTGGTACATTCATTCAGTATTGATTGTTTGAATCTTCCCATTGATGTTTAGGACTGAAACTGGTCAGTCTCTAATTGGCATATGTGCATACTGTGCTTATCGCCTCGATAAAGCCTTAATTCACAAACATTGTAAGCAAAGATGTGTAGTGACTAGCAAATAGGACGAAACGCGCGTCCTGAATTCCGCTTCTAGCCACTATCCATATTTACTTACATTTTGGTACATGTTCACACATTTATTTATTTTTTTTAAAATTTTTATAGAATGGATGGTTTAGGTATATATTATTGGCCTAATGGATATATATTAAAAGCACAATTTGAACAAAATAATATACAAAGTAATTCATTGATAGAAATAATTGATCCAGATGGTAAACAATGGACTGGACGATTTAAACAATCCCATCAACAAAAATTAAATGAAAAAGATAAAAATTTTAATGAAACTCAAATGTTTTTTAATTTAAATGAATATTAAAAACAAAATTAATTTAAATATAACTTATTCAAATTTGTATCTTTTTAATTTTTTTTCTATTTTCGAAATGACATTGAATGGTTGTTGTTGTTATGGTGATGGCGGTGGTGGTCTTTTTAAATATTGTTTTTTCAAACTATTTTAGGGTGAATTAATTGAAAATTTTGAAGTGGAAAATAATTATTTGAGTGAATTACCATTTTCTGAATCTCAATTCATTGGTCAGTACAACCCTTTTTAGTAAAAATTTGTAAAAAATAATGATTATTGTGTATAATTTCATTTAGTATTGTTTGTTTGAATCTTCCCATTGGTGTTTAGAACGGCAACTGGTCAGTCTCTAATTGGCATATGTGCATACTGTGCGTATTGCCTCGATATAGCCTTAATTCACAAGCATTATAATCAAAGATGGATAGTGGCTAGCAGTGGAGAGACTGACCAGTTGCAGTCCTAACAAATCGATGGGAAGATTCAAACAAACAGTACTAAATGAAATTAAACTTCACCCCATCGCACAAGTAAGTGGCTATCAGGACTCAGTAGCTGAGTGGATAACACGATGGCGTTTGAAGCGAAAGGTACTCCGTTCGAGTCCCAGAGTGAACATCAACTCAGATGCAGGTACATCCAGCTGATGAGTCCCGAATAGGACGAAACGCGCGTCCTAGATTTCACTGCTAGCCACTATCCATCTTTGCTTACGATTATTGTGTATGTTGAATTGTTAAGTTGTTCAATTTTTATTCATTTTAAGAGAAATATGTTTTACATAATTTAGCATAGGGTACTTGAGTAGAAGTGTTACCAACTCTCACATGACCAACTTGCGGCTTGAAGGCCATTGCATAAATTTGTCTTTGGTAAACGAGTTAGAGAACTACATATCGGAATAAAAGAATAGTACACAGTTCCAACTTGTGTTTTCATTTATAAATAACTCAAAGAATTGCTGAAATTTGAATAAAATTATGTTTGTCTACTCTCACCCCCCAGGTTCCAGTCTAGTTGACCTTTTATATGTATAAATGTTCTTAGCAAGTATATGTGTGATCAGATTGTTCGGAATGTATTGCGCTAATATACCGTCATATAGTTCTGATAATCTTCGTTTTCTTATTACACTATCGAAATTAAAATCAAATAGTTAATTCATTCAGATATTGGTCATTTAAGTACTGTATGACATCATCCTGTCAAAGTTGGAACCAGAAAATTTTAATTATGTAAGCCATTAGTTTCCGTAAACTTTAGCTAGTAACTAAAAATTTCAAATTGTACATGAGTTGCTTAGTTACTGAACGAAGACGATTCTTTTTTAAAAATTAGATATTATATGTTGGTATCGCTTACCATGATCCCATTAATCTAGTCAAATATATTAAATATTTATAGCAAGTAATACTGAGTGATTTAAAAACAGATTGAAAGCTGAGACACAAAGTCAGCAAAAAACTTTTCACAAAGCTTAATTTGTTGGCGTACAACTTTACCGATTGTTCCAAGATAAAAAGTTAAGGAGACTTTTTTGAGAGCGTTTTTGATAACAGAAAGATTTAAAAATCTAAGACAGGTATAAGCACAAAGAGGATATGATAATGACATTTAGTTGTATGTAATAATTCCAATCTCCTAAACTATGTAATATGATCTATGTATTACTGAGTTATTTGGGTGATAAATACGATGCCAGATGGCAACAATCCACACAGTCTTTGTTTCCTCAAGCTATATTCAAATGAGACGAAATATTACAACCATATGTAGACCAATTCATCAGTAATTGATTTGTAAAAGTTCGTTTTTTTAAAAGGAGGAAATCAAACTTGCTTTTTACATTAGTTTAATCTTTATAATGTGTTTTATTAATAGATTTTGAAGTGATCAACAAAGAATTGAATGAAACCAACCAATTGTTTGACTATTTTATTAAAAATGATGAAATGCCTTATACAATACAAAATGAACAAATAAAAACTAAAGAAGATTTAAAAATTATCAAGGGTAAAAATTATATCAAACTACTGGACATGATATTGAATAGTAAATTAAAACAAGAAAAAGAAGTACGAATCCATTTTCCCGTTTGAAAATACAGTTTTATTTATTTCATATAACTTAAATTTAATAGTTAAGATCATAAGTCAATTGAAGCTAGACCACCATGGAAAACCTGGCAACATTGGACGACCATTTCGTCTTATTGTAGGACTCCTCTACGATCGCGCCTGGCGAGGCTCGAACCCAGGACCTATCAGTCTTGATTTCCTAATTAAACTAGAAATAATTAAACGATATTTTTGTCTAAATTTAAATCACTGGAAGTTGGTAAAGAAAAAGCTTTTCCCATGCCTCATGTCAAATCTTCTTATGTGTTTTAATGATCTATGTTATGATCTTGGGTTGTCAACTCCTAATCATTTGTTCGAAATTCAAGTGTTTCCATGGATAGAATTATGATATTTTGGTGGTGGTAAATTGCAACACTAAACAAACAAAGCTACCCTAATCTCCCTGTTGTTAAGTTGATTGATGAAAGGTTTCTCAAGTTGTTTGATTACTTGGAACAATCAAATAAACTGGCTTATCTCAGTCCAGGAGCCAATAACTCAATAGGTTGATGACATAATCTCACCTAAGCGCATGCAGATTTTGCTCAACTTACTTATGTGCTGGCAAATATGATTTACTTAATCAAGACTCTTGCCCCTCGTAAGGGATAAGCGGCTGACCAGGGATCTCTAACAAACTCTGTCCTAAACTCTCCTTTTCATTTGTTTTCGAAGTGCTATATATGGTCTTGATGTCTTCCAACGATTCCCAGCGCATATGTTGTTTGGTCTGCTTTTTTTCTTTCCCTTGAAGATTCCAGGTCAAGGTTTGCCTGCAGTTTAATGGTATCCGTAAAGTGTGTCTTATCTGAATCCAACGTCTTTTTCGAATTTCCTCCTCAAACGGGAGTTGGTTCGTTCTCTTTCACAGTAGATTATCAGTGATGATCCCTGACCGATGAATCTGGAGTATCTTACATAGACAGCTGTTTAGAAATGCCTATTCTGTTTTAGTGATGATAATTTACCAAGTCTCAAATGCTTAAAACAGATCTGTTCCAACGTCAGTATTAAAAATTCTGTTTCTGTTGTCGACTGACAATAGTATCTCTCGTGAAGTTAGTCTTTGCTATCTAGATTCTATTTAATGGGTCTCACTCTTTTCAAACATGTCCGGATCGGGTCGGCCCATTTCTTTCGCTAATTAAATGACGTTCATGAAGCGCCACATTGTTTAAACAATCCATGTTCTCATGTTAATTGTTGACCTAGGAATCAGAAAAGGCATATGCGCTGTGGCTACCGAAGAATCTTAGCTTCCATTATGAGTCACCAAAACTTCTATTTTAAATCGTTCTTCCTTCAGAGTAGAGATTGTCTCATTTCTTCCAATCAGTGATTTTGTAGCCAGGTTCCTTTTTTACGAGATGGAGTTGGTCTTTTACCAGGCTTTGAGATTGGCAGTCGCATTTGGTTGGCTTCAAGCGAGATTAACAGTCATCATTTAAAAACAATTAAATACTATTAAAATAGTAATTTTCAGAACATATTCTAAAGTCATTATTTGTTATTGTTTACTTTAAGATTAAAGAAAATACCCGAATTTTACACAAACAAATTGAAGATGAATTGAATAATTTAATAAATTCAAATAAAAAATTGAACAGAAAATTTAAAACATTTAAACAAATCAATCAAACAGAAAATAAAAAACAAAATTCAAATCAGATTGTACCAGTAGATACTTATGACAATTTCACTGCTCTTTCAGATGAAATTTGTCGAAATATTGAAAAGTTTTTACAATTAAATGATAATTCATTATCACAAAATAACAATATGGGTAAATTCAATTATCATATTTAGTTGTGTGTTTTTGTTTTGATAAACCATCTCATAAGATTCACTTAGTATTGTTTGTTTGAATCTTCACATTGATGTTTAGGACTGCAAGTGGTCAGTCTCTAATTTAAAGCGAAAGGTACTGGGTTCGAGTCCCAGAGAGAACATCAACTCTCAGATGCAGGTACATCCAGCTAACGAGTCCCGAATAGTTCGATACGCGCGTCCTAGATTCCATTGCTAGCCACTATCTATCTTTGCTTACACTCATAAGAGTTCTTTTCTTTTCTGAGTACTGTTGTAGTGTAAAGTTAAATAAATAAAAACTAGAGCTCTAGAAGTAAGTTTGGAGTTACCAATAAAGTTCGAGAAAATAAACATGAGTTATAACTAAGTTGAAATTAAATGTGTCTAAATGAATAACTCAGAGCTTAACTAACTTAATTATGAGAAATACTTTCTATAAATCTCTACTTCTATCTTGATTTTCTTCATTATTTAATAAACTGGACAAAAACATAACTGCATCTAATTTACTAGAATAACCATTAGATCTAACTTACCTGTTAGGATAATAAGACCTTTTTTACCTTCACATAGAAACATTTGTTAAGGTATGTATTTTCGCATTGTTAATATTTATGACTAGAACTGAACAATCTCTGTTGGGATATTTGTGTCCTGATCGGATTGTCTCGATATTGTTATTTGGTGACAAGATTTTATTGAAGTTGGCTAGTGACAGGTTTGTGCAACTGACGAATCCCAAACAGGACTAAATGCATGTATTGGATTACACTACTAGTTACTATCTAACTCTATAAAAACTCGTAAGTAAATGGCATTATCGAGGTGATGAGCTCGGAGTCCACAAATACCAAAAGAAATAAAGCGAAAATACGAACCCTGATAAATAATATCCACATTCATTGTAAAAATAAATAGAAGCCTGGGATCAGTATCTCAGAGAATAATGTTTTTGCGATTGATGAGACATATACTGGGCGGCCTGCTTAAACATCTGGGCTACCTGTTTCCCGTCATCTATATATTTCAACAAGTTATCTAATATTGTTTGTTTTAATACATCATTATGGCTATTAAGCACACAACCTATTCCGGTGCGTTTCTGAAAACTGTACAACCTTTCGCTGTAAAAGTTAGAAAAGGCCTAATCAGAGATGTCGTGTTTGCTGGGAACATGCAGCAAAAAGAATATACATTATTCATATGTCGATTGACTGAACTGCTGACATCCAACTGGCGATCACTGAATGTTTATCATCAGGAGCAACGAAGAAATAAGAAACGTAAATATGTTGAAATACTTTATGCTGAGAATTCGATTTTGTACCAAATAATATAATATTGAATCAAGCTAATAATAATAATAATAATACTGGGTTTGATTCTGGAAGTAAGCATCAACACGGATGTTGATAAGGTCAGTTAACTTACTCCAAACAGATGTAAGCTCATTTCTTGGATTACACTCATAGACACCACTCAACTGCAAATGACGTAGTAATCAATACCTGAGAAAAATTTTCTTTAGGAGTGTTCATTACCTGCCTAGTTTTCTGATATTGTACAGAGTTAATTAACTCAGCATTCAATAAACCTCACTATGTCATTAACATGAATACTCATTATTTATTCAGACGAAGCAGTATTAGTAAATTTATAGGTTGATATTGACTAGATGATTTATCATCTGAGCCCACAGATGAGTAAAACCCTAAAATCGCCAATTGACTACTAAAATGAGAAAACTGGGAATCAGAAATAAAATTTATCGATTAAACAGTATATATATATATATATATATATATATATATATATATCCCTCAGAAAATCAATACACCGATTGTGTATGTACCATCCATTAGAAACAAAAGTCATTTCTTCACTAATCTCAATCAAATGTTGTTTGTCTGACTCCTGATTCCTCTAAGGTATCAAAATTGTCCGTCATTTTAAGCTAAGACCTATTCCGTGTGCTTAATGAAAACCCACCATAACATTCACAATGAATTTTTTGCAATTCAAACATTGTACTGGAATTCACTCGCCAATTTTTACGAACTCAAATTAATTTGTCATTTCATATTATCATCTTCCAAAAACAATTAATATCTTCAATTTATTTATAATTCCATGTAAGCGTAGGATACAAACGAAATTCATTTTAACTTGGTCTAGTCAGCTCGTAATGTCACAATGAGACATGATCTCCACATATTAAGTGTAAACTATTTTGTATCAGATGTAAGAATATTTTGCCAAGCTGTATAGCAATAATTTTATGATTTATCCAGTAATGAACGAAAACAACAATGATTACTATCAAAACAACGTTCAAACAAACGATTTGGAAGAAGAGACAACCTCCGAATCCATCTTTAAAACGGAGTACATCAAAGAATGTAAAACGAATGAGGAAAAAGAAAGAGAAGACAGAATAAAAAAATTACTTGACCAAGGTAAATATATCAATCATAATAAAAAATTACTTTCAAAACTATGAAAAATCGCTCTTTGTCAACATGTATGATGATAGAACATATAAGTATTATTTATACCACTGAATAAATAGTAAGTAGCATATTATACTCCGTAAAAATAACTGGGGAGGCGATGGGTTGCGCTAAGTATGTGATGTTTAACAAACAAGAATGGTTCACATAAGCGACTTCACTTTAGAAATCACATCATAGCAAATATCTACACTGTTCAAAATAAAATTACACAATATATTTCTTAACAATAATCAATCTACAGAATATAAAAACAAAGAATCTAACATTCCAAAAGAGAAGCTTTTATGCAGTGCCTCGAATGAAACCTAAAAATTTAGTCAGAAATATCATAGAAGCTACATAAAGATTTATAATTATTTAAATCCATTGCATATGATCTCAATCAAATAGAGAAAACTACGTTTAATCAAAAAAGTTATGGAAACAATGAATTATCGTTTCGAGACAACAATTTAGCGACGTATGGAAAGGGAAGAGATGATTTGCAAGACCATTCACTGTGACTATCGTAAGTGAAAAAGTTGAATACATATTTTTCCATTCACAAAATTGAAGGTCATTTTGGTTTCGGAAAAAAAGTTCTAAACCATGCAACGAAGTCGAAAGTGTACTGTAGCCTCACCTTGTATTTGATTCCGGATGTTGAGTCTGTTTTGAATGAATACACTATGCTGGAAGATGCTTTATATAAGCATTCCTTACCCATCCATGTCGAGTATCAGTTTTTAACCTCTTTATGTAGAAGGAATGTCGAGCGAATGATATCTTTAACTTCACAGGAAACCTTGTTTACACTAATATTTGGTAATTTCATGTTGTGATGGTAACCGTTACAACTGTGATAAAAACTGACCAACTTTGGTTTTAGCATTCTATCCCATTATCTATATCTACGTGTCGCGATGAGTATGGTTCACAACAAAACAATATTAGTGAGAATAAGAGAAATGAAGTGTAATTTGAATGGTCTACTAGTCCACCTAACTCTGTAAATCGGAGTTGCTCATTGGTAACGTTGATAGCTGTAAAAGCGAGTAAGATTATTTCAAGACTTTGATTTAAAAAAATCAGTTTTCTCTATGTTACGTCTCTTTCCTCACAAAAAGAAAGAGGGATTTCGTGTTTACCGCTTAAATTCATCAATTACCAAGTCTAAATTTCATGAAATATACTTTTTCAGCAAATAGAATTCAGAGATTAGACATCTCACTCAATACCATGAATAGCGATCATTAAACAAAGTACTGAGAAAATATCTATTATAAATAATATTATAGTAATATTGCAAGGTATTTAAATAACAATGACTTAATCCAGTGAATCTCAAGCTTAAATCTCTCAAATCAAGTATATTCAAGTTAACTTTGACTTGCCCTCATGAATGACTGACTGAATCCTAATTGTTAAATCCTAGTACGTAAAGTGAGACCTAACATTTGACAGAGTATTATAATGCTCAGTTTACCTCAAACGAATATCTAGACTAGATACCCTCTCAATGTCTATTCTACGGGACTTCAACACAACTCAGATTAAGAACACGTGACTAGCCTGACTAGAACGTAAGTATATTTCCACACCAAAAACAGACGACAACCAATGGTAATACGGGTAGAAGAATATATAACTCATCTAAAAGCTATCAGACTATCTACCAGTCTGACTAGGCAAACAGCCAATCATTATCACTCATGTCCACAGATTATAGAGATCGTGGGAATTCGTACTGAACCCAGTAGTCTACTAGCGCCTTATATGCGTTTCTCATTAAGAATTAATCAATTTATATTCCGATAAGAATTAAGTTTACAAAGTTATATGTGCTATCAAAAGTGAATATTCTAATGTCTTGGCTGAATAACTTGGTTGGACTGGCCCATATTTATTGCCTTTGAGAACACTGGAGTTCTATTAACTATATTTTTTAAAGGGAAGGAGATGGTATAGAATATTTATAACTCAATGAGAACTTTGAGCATGTTTTGTTCTCTAGGTTGGATAGTTTAATAGTGAAGCCGTCATTATCTTTATCGCCACATCCCACTTTAATAAGAAGTGAGTTATCAGAATATCTCCACAGTTGATTAACTGCTCGTTCTGTTGACTTTTGATTTGGTTGGTTATTGTCCATAGGTGTGTAGCCGTTGTTTGGATGTTTGTTTTGATCATTTTCACCTCTGGCTTGATCTTCGAACATCGAGTTGTCGATCCTTTTCCTTATTGGGTTAATAGTTTGAGTCAACTTCGATGTGTCTACTGGTTTATGCAATATCAGAGTCCCATGCTTCTAAAAATGCTTTGGCTTTATTTTTATTTTTCCTGTCCACTATTTCAACGTTTTCTTAGTCGAAATCCTGTCTTTAGTTGTTCACGTACATTGGACCGCAGGCTGATGTTCATGCAGACATGGTCAGAACGACAGTCCACTTTGTTCTATGTAGTGTTTTTCGCAGCTGATGCAATTGATTTTATAGATGGCATTTGGTTTATTTCCTCTTTTCGTAGTGTACTGTGGTCTACATAATTTGGGTTGCAAAGATTTTGTGTCACGTACATTCCTAGTGTCCTCAACAATCTGTTCGTAATCTTGGAGATGTTTTTTATATAGGGTAGAATTAGTCGTTTAATTACTTTTGTCATTTTTTAAAATGAAATGTGGAACTCATCTGTTTGGCAGTCAGCCCTGAATTAATGAGTTGGTATACACCCTGTTAATGAAATTAAATTTTTCTTTGTTCTTATCCATTGCACTACATAGAAATAGAAGTTGATTCAAGTACATATTTGCAAAACAATCAATGTAATCAATTCAAGAATCAAAATGCTTCATTTAATTCATTCAACGGTAAATCAATGCAAAATAAGAAGAATTTCATAAAACGCAACATGGAGGTGAGAATATTGAGTTCCTTTTTTAAATATGATAAGTGGTCATTTTATGTTTAAAAGTTTGGCAATGAAAGTCATTATTCCAGAGATGGGATGCAGAATAAGGTGAAAATCTTACTGGATATGTACAGTCTACTGGTAAATCAGTTGAGTTTACTAAATGATGAGTAACTGGAACTAAACAACAAAAATCAATATTAATTTTCTGAAATAACTACTTAGGGTATACTAAGATCGTTAATTATTTCTCATTAACACTGGTAACATTTCAACAGATCTTTCCAATAATAAAGCTTTTTCTAGACGAGACTATAATTCACGGACGAACTAATCAGTAGCTTTCGAGCGGTCTCAAGGTCGCAGCGCCTGTTTCATTACTCACGTACGATAGGTTTACAGAGAATTTTAATAAAACGTTGTAACTGAGCGGCTACAACAAATGGGATTATTATTTAAGTTCTTTTATTAATGATTGCGGTAGTCAAATGACTCCTTGACCTTGTTCAGATTATCGTGATGATGTTGTATTTCAATGTAATATATGTTGGAGGAAGTAATCCACCTGAACAGAAGATTTTAATCGCTAGACCCCCATTAAGACTAAGACAGATTATGATAATTGTTGCAAACTAGATAATAAAAACACCAGTAACACTGGCTGCAACCTTTTCAAATGCTACCGAAGCTTCGGCAGTTCAGTGGTGTGAGTATTGTCAATGTATATGTACAATAAAAATTACAAGTTTGCATGAGTCGTTTGGAGGAGTTGGGCGAATCATATAAATAGGCGAAACGGTCATCAGAAAACGTAAATTCAATAGAGGACGAAGTGTTAAAAAACACTGGGTAAGTAACATTTCCATAAATATACTTAACGGGTCCTTGATATATACGATAGACCATCTCAAAAAGGGACTTCCAGCGCGTGCGAAAACGACAGGCCACACCGATAATACCAATTATGCGAGAATATGCGCAATCGCGTACCACAATATACAGGGATGACTGAAAAGCATACCGATGCTTACATAGACTTAGTTACGTGAATCATGTCGTCGTCCACAAGCGGTATTTCGCAGACCTCGCCACCGGAGTACACACAAATAATATAGAAGGAATGTGGTCGAGGCTAAAAGAATTTTTGTGACCTATCATAGCTCCAAAGGTCGACTATTATGAAGTCACATGGATGGGTTCCTGTATAGTATGCATTACGATCTCAGAACTACAGAGCCTCTTTCTAACCTCCAAAAGTCTTTAAACCATGTCAAATAATTGCATCCGCTCTAAATTTTTGGTTTTGTATGATATATTTCTACTCTATACTGACTGTCTTCTGATTGGCTGAAATTCCTCAAAATCACTTAAGATTCGTTCAGAGGTCCTCCATATATTATAGTCTCGCTGATTTTTTTCCTTATGATAAAAATAAATCTTTTGATGTTGAATAAATATCTTAATAGCTCGCGCCGCGTTGGAAGGATGTAATTCCAATGACAAATGAAGAAAAAGAACGACTAGAAGAAATTCTAGCTGAAGAGAAAGAAACAATGCAAATTATCGAACAGAACGATATGCTGCAAAATGAACTTAATACTGCCATAGTAAATAATTTTTTAAATTGTTTATATTGATGTAAAATAATGTTCAGGTAGGGGAGAAGATTTGTAGCTCAGGTGGATGATATTGGTGGAGTTTTGTTCTCTGAGCTGTATGGTTTGATCGCGGAGCTTTCATCATTATTCTGAACGACAGCAGCAGTACAAACTTCAGGTTTGTACCTGAGGTTCAGAATTACGATGAAAACTTCACGACCGAACCATCCAGCTCAGAAAACAAAACTCCACTAAAAATGTACATGCAAATTACTCCCACAGAATAGATTACACACATAGATAGTGATTGAATAAAAATGTACTTAGCAACTTTGGTGAAAGATAAATCAATATAAGTCATAAGAAAGAAATTCAAGGAAGAGATCTCTTTTCGGTGATGCAGTTCCTAAAACTGTACAACCTCAAATATTTGTGTTTTTTTGAGTTATGGTTTAATTACGTGTTTGTCGCTTGCAATAATTCATTGAACATTGTAACAGAGAGAATTTAAAGGAAATAGTACTTGTTCAAAGACCGTGAAATGAAATGAGATGGATCTTAGAAACTAATCGATAACCCTATAAAAAACTAGATAAGTATTTATAATTACTGAAATTGATTGTAAAGCATAATAATTTAATTTTGAAAAGTAATTGTAATTAGAAAAACCATAGAGATATGTACTGACAGCCTAGAGGCAAATAAAATTGGAAAGGGAAATAGGAGATTTGTATGACTAAGCATTGCAACCATGATAATAGAAAAAAAGTTGAGCAAGTTTCTTTCCCATATATAGTTTGGGATTCGCTGTGTATATGTTAAAGTATTCGGTCATTAAGCTGAACTGGAAAATCCCTATTCGCTTTGCTGGTAACCTTGTCGATGAAATCCCCGTAGAGAGATTTCTGCTTTAAAACATTCTTTCCTCTATGTCTAACAGAACACTAAAAAAATATTTTGTCCTCTGATACAAAATAAGATAGCACAATAGCATTCGACTGAGTAACGGACGTGATGCACGACTACACAATTCTGACTAATGACTGAGAATCAAACTTTATGACAGACGATGGTTTTAATAACGAAAGTGCAAGCAGACTACACGGTGAAAACCGGAACAGAAGTCAGCGTCACGACATAAATATAGTTTGAGAGTGCAATTCGATTAAATCGATCAACTTATCATGACAATTATCTGTATATGGTATGGTCAGTCAAGTAAGATTTGAGATATTTAGTTGTAATTTACCCAAACGTAAATTCTTATATAAGTGATTTGGAACTGTGTGACATGACAAAAAAGATTTACAGAAAACCAGTTACACTTGTTCCAACACAATTTGTTTGAAATTTTGAGAAGAAGACTCCCTGCACAATCTGTAGAAATACTTATTTATATCATAAATTACAGAAGAGCTGTCCGTTTTCATTTAGCAACTAATTACGATCCACTTCCTCTGACACATCATTTCATTAACCATTGAATAACGAATTTTTAGATTGGCAGTAAATCAGGTGTAAGTAAATTCAACCTCTCTTCCTTCAAACAAGTGTCTTTTTAAAGTAGGTCACATGAAATCGTTAAATGTGTGTGTTATCTTTTGAAGTTTGCTTAAATATAAGATGGTACTAACATATTTTGTGGTCAGGTTAAGGAGGTATTAATTATTTCAGTCTCCTAAAACAGTATTCAGTTGTCAACAAATATTCAACTGTTTCATCTATCATATTTCATACCAGAAGTAAATTATCCTTTGAACAGATAACATTATATATTTAATGTTATATATAGCCGGATGAATCATATATAAAGGATTAACTAATAATATAACTGATTTGTCTTAGTGTTCTTTTTCTTACAAACATCACGTTTTCCATAAAAGTTGGATAATCGTTTATGTAGTCGCGTAATTTGGTCGGTACCAAAAACATAACATATTGTCACACCTTCTTCTTTGATCATATTGCTGTACATGACGTTCGGTTGTCTGCACCTGATACAAAGCCTTGAATGCAAATGAAGTATTTTCACTCTACAAATCTTGTTGTTCTTGCTTTGAATCATACTAAATTTATTTTAGATTTTCTAATTTCATTTTAGCACAACGAATCTAGTGACTCACTTCATAATGAACGTTTTCTATCGATAGACAGTATACGCAGTAAATTATGGTTATGTTTAAATAGAACCAGGAGAAATGGTTCATGTTCAGATATGGCAGTATCAAATAATGATGATGACCAGAATCCTTCAAACAATCAACCTAATTCAGTTAATCAGATAATATTGAAAGGAAATTGCCAACAGTTAGATAATCAAATGCTAGGAATGTTATATCGTCTAAATGAAATTGATGAACAGCTTGAAAAATTTCAAATTCAAAGGAAAATAGACAGTGAAAATGTATCAGAAATACTATCCTCTTTAAGATCAACTGAAGAAGAAGAAAACAAGGTATTATTTGAAAACACCTTTGAAATTATGTTCTATCACAACATATTGCATTACATTGATACAGTTTGTGTTTTTGGTATTGGTTATGGTGGGTTCGAACCCCACTAGTAGTGTCAGTTACTACAAAATTTCAGTGTCAAGTAGCGCAAAACAAATGCTCGATACTTTCTTCAGATTGTGCCTTGATACTTATAGAAGTTAGAATGATAATATTTCCCATATCCTGTAATCTGATTACAGCTCCATCAATATTGAAGCATTTCGATGAAAAATGAAGATGATTTCGCTGTGCATCTTGATAGTAGTCAAGTTAGTAATAAAAGACAAACGACGTCCATTGGTTTTTATAATTAACCTTAGTTCACTTCGAAATTCCATATGTAAATTTCTCGTGGGAGTCAAAATGAAAACATTTAGGAATTTCAACCAAGATATTTAATACATCATTTGAGGTTATTGTCTCAAAATTATTTCATAATAAGTGTTTACAAACACCTTTATGGTTGTAAAGAATGACGGTCATCAGTCTTGTTACATCATAGGGATTGGACAACATTTACGCTTTAGAAAATTAACTCACTAAACAGAACCTGCTTTACTTGATGAATTGACGATATTCATCATGCATCTTACCTTACTGCATGAGGATTCGGTGGTTCGAATTGTAGAAATCTCAAATGAAATGAAACAATAAAATTAATTAATTGGATTTTTCAACTGATATTAATTAATAAGAACTCCGCCTGTAGCTCTTCTGGGGTTACTGCTGGTCCTCAGCCCTCGTAAAAAAGGAAGGTTGGACGTGGGGTCAGAAATCACATCCCGTAGAAAACAACCTTGTTAAAAGAACACTAACCACATATATCTCATTTAAACCATTCAAACTGTGATCTAGGGGTTGAAGAATATGCATTCAGAAGAATAGCGATGTCTATTGGTGAGAGCCGAGATTCTTCGGAAGCCAATAGGCTGATGCGTCTCCTAACAACCAGAGCAACGATTTTCATAGGTACATAGAATTTCCGAGAAATGTGTGAGACCGGTAGGACTAATCAAATAGCCACCGAAATAGGGAGATACAACTCGTCGGTGTTCAAAATCAGTGAAACCCATTGGGCACAGTCTGAACAGCAAAGGTCAGTCACGGGATAGATGCTGCTGTACTCCGGTCACGAAGAGCGACATGCTCCATACACTCAGGGAGTTGCTCTAATGCTGTCCAAATAAGCACGAAATGCAATTATTGGTTGGGAATCTCACATATCTAAAATCATCAAAGCGTCCTTCAATACAAGGAAGGTGGGAATTACAGTGAATGTTATCCAATGTTATGCAGCCACAAATGATAGGAAAGACGACATTAAAGAACAGTTCTATGAGAGGCTGCAATCAATCATAACAAAGTGTCCAAGAAAGGATTTGACCATCCTGATGGGAGGCCTAAACGCTAAAGTCGAAATGGACAACACATGATATGAAGATCGGTCGCGCACAGACCAAATTGTGGCACTAAGGATCATCGTCGAACAATCAGTTGAGTGGGACTCGTCACTATAAATCAACTACGTTGACTTCATCAGTTGAGATGGCTGGGACACGTGTTACGTATGCCCAACCACCGACTGCCCCGACGTGCAATGCTTTATGGTGTAGGAGTAAGTTGGAAGAAAGCTAGGGGCGGCCAGAGCAAAATGTGGCATAAATCCATGAAGTCGCTGACAAGTGGACTGAGCCATGTCGGTAGGTGTAGGCTACCTGGTTGGGATTCGCGAGATGACAGCAACCGATGGTTAGAGACCTTGAATGACATGGCTCAAAATCGTTTGCAATGGCGAAGGTGCATACACTCTTTGTGTTCTACCAAATTCTAATCTGAATTCTTCATGTCCGTATCCTTTTTCTCTTTCCGAATTTATTTCACTGTATTACACTACTTCAATAACATCTTCAAACCCTAATCTTTCACATAATGCTTATGCTCTTACTACTTCTACCTCTTTGGGATTTGAATCGAAAACTGCATCTTTGTGCTAATGTGGTATGACAGCTCGAACTGATGTACGTACGTACGAAGTTCTATGTTGTGACTGACTGGCCTTGACTATAAGAAGGCGTTTGACAGCGTGTATAGGAGAACATTATGGAAACTTCTTCGACACTATGGAGTTCCTGAAAAGATTGTCAACATTATCCAAAACTCATACGATGGACTACAGTGCAAAGTGGTGCATGGAGGACAGCTGACAGATGCATTTCCAGTAAGGACCGGAGTCAGACAAGGTTGTCTACTCTCCCCATTCCTCTTCCTTCTAGTGATTGACTGGATTGTGAAGAATTCTACATTTGAAGGGAAATACGGAATACAATGGACTTCTCAGAATCAATTAGAAGATTTGAACTTCGCAGATGACCTAACCCTTCTGTTCCATACGCACGTACAAATACAAACGAAGACAACTAATGTAGCAGTAGCCTCTGCATCAGTGAGCCTCGGTATACACAAAGAAAAAAAGCAAGATATTCAAATACAACATGGAGAACACCAACTCAATCATACATGATGGAGAAACTCTGGAAGAGTTGAAATCTTTCACGTACCTGTTCAGCATCATCAATGAACAGGGAGGATCTGAACCACACGTAAAAGCGAGGATTGGCAAACCAAGGGCAGCATTTCTATAGTTGAAAAACATACGAAACTCAAAACGAGTGTCGACCCATATCAAAGTGAGAATTTTCAACACGAACATCAAGGCAGTTCTACCGTATGGAGCTGAGACGTGGAGAACTACTACAACCATCATCAAAAAGGCACAAGTATTTATAAGCCGTTGTCTACGCAAGATACTCAATGTCTGTTGGCCTGATACCATCAGCTACAGCCGACTGTGGGAGAGAACAAACCAGTTTCCGACTGAAGAGGAAATTAGGAAAAGACGTTGTAAGTGGATAGGAAATATATGTTGGTAAGTGGAAGCAGACATCAAAAGAATGGATAGCAACTAGACACAACTGGAAAGGATTGTGCAGAACAGAGTTGAGTGGAGAATGCTTGTGAGAGGTCTATGCTCCTCCATGAGGGTCAAAATGTGAATGAATGGTTTCACAATATTTGTGCACCAAGTTTATGTAAGACACTAAGGGGGAAATTATATTTATATTAATCTTTGAGAATTTCGCAAATATAATTTCTTTCTTTAGTGATAATAATTAGTGTAATATAGAGTTTATACGTTATTTGTATGAAGATCCTGAACGATCAAATACGCCCAAGAGAATGTGCACTCAGTACATACCAAGAAAGTCGCGAATTAAAAGAACGCCTCAATGAAATTGAAACTCGACTAGCGGAAATTCAAAAAATTAGTTTTGAAGAGGTATGCTTTGGCAAATATACAGTAATTTTATCCCTATTTTTCTTTCATTCTAACAGTTTTATAACTATGTCCGTGCTTCATAAGCTTTTAGTAAAAATGAGTAAATATGTAATAATGAGGAGTCCCACAACACGACTAAACAGTCGTACAGTGCTTCCAGGTTTTCCATGGTGGTCTAGCTTCAATTGACTCATGATCTCAACTCTAGAAAATATGTAATAATTAAATAGATGTATTGTCTGCGAACAGTTGAATATTTCATACTCATTTAAAACATACGGCATCAATGGTCTAATTAGAGAGAGAAAGTTGTAGTTTGAAAACAAGTGAATACTGTTGTTTTCAATAAAATATGGTTACATTTGAAGGTAACTTGTGTAATAGATTTCCCATTCATCAAATCAATGTCATCATCATCCAATGGTTGATATATGTATCGTATACATCAATGAACAATGCACATTATATCTGAAACACCTTTAGCAAAATTGATTTGGTGGGATATGTATTTTCTAAAGTGTACAAATATTTACAGCTGTCAAGCAATCACGAACTTCAGGAGAGTTTTAAGCATTCCAGCTGACAGAGTGTGAACAACAAAAAGTAAATTAAACATCCATTCCTATAATATTAAGCACTTAATATTGTTAATTTTGATTTCGAACGTCTAATTAACTACATGTTTTGTACATAAATCAGATGAAGTTTAAGAGTAATTTTGAAATGTTTCTCAGGAAATATTAAAAGTGATAAGAACCGATGCAATAGGTGGAACACTACTTTCCGATACCAATTTAAACTTTAAGGAATAACTGAGTTTGAATATTGTTTTTGAACGTAATTCTCATATATAGATATGTTTAGTTATCTTTTTGTAATTAAAAAATAACTTCTGTTCAATAAAAGTGAAGCTAAAAAAATCTTTGAACTTCATTTGCCCAAATTATTTTCAGTCTTTGTAATCTCTGCACTTTGTGATGACCTTGGAAATAAACTAACTGGGGAATTTGAAAATCATATTTTTCTAGAATCTAATTCATTTACGACACTAGGAATTTAAAGTTTAAATGTTATGCACATTTTTTCTTAGAGATACGTCATAGAACTGTAATTCCAGAACACATTATCAAATTAAATCTATTATAAGTAAACAGTAATTAACATCACTGTATCCTCTCAAGTAGTTTTAAACATATCTAGTGAAATATGCCTCCATGTTAGTAGTGCAGTAATAAATTATTTTCCTAAAAGTAATGTGTTTTCCCATTTATAACTTTCTTGTTACATATTTCTAGTTTTACTGTATAATACTTATCGACCAGTCTCTTTTTTTGTTTCCAATCCCGCTTCCCCTCCCCCTCCCAACACACGCGCACCCCTGTTCAAATTTTTGCTGTTTTTTCCACTGTTGCTATTATTATTGTTGTCGTTGTTATGTGAATATTTTTATATATTTTCACGCGTTCATTGTTAGCTAAATGCAATTTTGTTTGTAATTTGTTACACTAAATTATGGAGAAATTCATCTAATAATATTGGACAATTAAATATTGATTTGAATGAAATAACACCGAATAATTAATAATCATTATTAATTGTACCTCAGATACACAGTTCTGTTCAGGTTTTCATTGAACTAAAATAAAGTCAATAGATTGGTTATTCACGTGATATATTCTTCTTAAACGGCATTTTAAATTCTTACTCACTTACTTACGCATGTTACCCCTCGTGGAAACGTTTTTATCAGAAGGGGTTTTGTGGATATTATAGTAATTTTAATAGTTGAGATCATGAATCAATTAAAGCTAGACCACCATAGAAAACCTGGAAGGAGTGGACGGCTGTTTCGTCTTATTGTGGGACTCCTCCGTGGCCTAAAGGTTAAGCACTCGCGCGCGAAACTGATAAGTCCTAGGTTCAAATCTCGCGAGGCCGGATCATGGATACAAACTGATGAGGAGTCTAACAATAGGACGAAACGGCCGTCAATTGCTTCCAGGTTTTCCATGGTGGTCTAGCTTCAATGGACTCATGACTTCATCTATTAAAAAGTTTTTTTTGATTAAATTAATCAAAATACTGATTTATTAAAAAAAGTAGTCACCTGCCAATGAAATGAAAAATTTTAATGAGACTACAATTAATAGACAACATTTGAGCGACGTCTTAATGATCTTGAGAATGTACGCTTAATTACCACAGCTAAATGAAGGTTATAAACCTGTGTGAAGGGTAAAGATCATGATTTACGATTGATGGTTAGAATTAGGGATTAGATTTATGGTTTTCATCATGAACTAACGTCAGCTAAAATGCCAAGACGCTATTTAGTCAAATGGTGGATGAATTTCGCGCCAAGATCCAAGACTTGTTATCAGAAATCTGATTGGTTCGTCCACAAATTATAGTCTTGCGGAAATTTTTGAGTTTGAATAGTTTACTTGCACAAATAACTACTTTACAACCCATATGTAATAAAACTGTTGGACTAAAAAGAGACACATGTACCTGACTCTACTATAATATGCCTCATTGCTATTTTTCGTAAGCATCTCTCTTTTAAAAGTGATAATAACTGTTTGTCAAAACAAACATTAGACTATCGAAATAAATTGTATTCGAACTGTTTTTTAGTCAATATGTTGAAGAATAATATCCTTGGTACAACTTAGATAGCAAACAGCACTTTATAAATCACAACATATGTAAGAATTATTATACCATGTGTATATGGTATCCTCTTCATTCATATTTACATAAAAATTAGACAACAAACCGATAATACTAAATATTTTGTTTTAAGTGGGCATATAAAACTGTACCTTTTTTCTTAGTGAGAATATCTATAGTGAACTCTGAGTAATAAAAAAATTAAATTATTAATGAATCTTTATAATTGAAAGCGTGAGTCAATTGAAGCTAGACCACTAGGGAAAACCTGGAAGCACTGGACGGCCGTTTCGTCAATTGACTCACCCTTTCAACTATGAAAATATTAAATCTCCACAAAAAAACCCTTCTGATAATGAAGCTTTAGATGTTATTGATTTAGACCAATCACTAGTAAGTTAACAAACTATTACAGGTCAAATCTATTTACCAATTAGTAGAAAAAAATAATTGTAAAACCAGTGCTTAGATTCACTTGGTTTTGTTTACTTGTATCTACCCATTGTTATTTAGGACTACAATTGATCAGTCTCATTTTGGCATATGTGCATCCTGTGCGTACATCTAGGTACATCCAGCTGACCAGTCCCAAATAGGTCCTGGATTCCACTGTTAGCCACTATCCATCATTGCTTATAAAATCAGTGCTTCGATTATTTATTTATATTGCATGGCCAATTATAATAAAGATCACTGAAATGTAACATTATTTTTCAAGAAGTTTCCAATGCTCTTTTCCTCCAAAGTTTGTTGTAATAATGCTATATGATGTTGTATCGTTCTTACATAAATAATTGAAATGACCCTCAACCAGTTCCTTAGATTTTTTATAAAGAGATGTTATCCTTATATATCAAAACCACATTTTCGAATTGATTTTAAGACTGTCTAACTGTTTTTCCTCATACAATATATTTTTTTTCGTATTTAACTTGGTCTTCACTTTATCAGAAATCACTGTCGTTTAAAGTATGCACTGTTGTGTATAGTTGTATTCTGCTTAATAGATCCTGTTCTGTTCTTTTTGTATTAATGAAAAAAATGATTGTTAAGCTTATACACATAGTAACAGGTAAGTAAAACTTCTTTCCTATGCTCATGAATCACTTAACCAGTTTACTTTTGTAATCATATGTTCTCATTAAGAACTGTATTTTATTCACTAGTAAATAAAATGAAAGTAAATGTATACTGCACTCATATAATTGATTCTTAATACACTTTACACAATTAAAAAATACATTGTACTTTTCTATCAGTCATTGATATAATAAAATTGATGTTTGAGAAACTCGTTTATGCCTTTTAGTATTTGTCCAACGACTATAGAAATAGGTAAGTTGACCTGTGTTTGTCATGATATCTTTCAAATAAACTTTGTTGTTTATAGCAATAATTGTCATCACCTAATATCATATACTTGTTTTAAATTACTAAAGTTAATTTTTCAGACTTTAAGTGAATTATTGACTGAATTAGCTATTCTCCTTAACTCGCAATCATTTATTAGATTAAGTAATATTGTATTGAACAGAACACGAGTGGAGACAACTGAATAAATTAAGCGCAAATTACAGACTATCTCACTAAATTCTGATAACCATACAGCAAACAGTTAATTTGCAAAATAGCAACCAATTGTCTCAATCTTCATTGTTCCTTCTGTAAATGTCAATTCATCTTCTCTAATTTCATTGTTTCTGCATCTTACTACCAATTGCGTTTCATTTCAGTTCTTTCCTTATCGTTCTTCTGTCAAAACACATTCTATGTCTAACCATTACCATATACTACTTATATATAAATAGACCACACCACAGTATCACTTAATTTATATGAAAGATTTGAAATAAATCGTAATTTTTATTTTGTTTAAACTAACATTTTAAAACTAAACTGAAATTTTCTATTAGTTACAGATCTACTCTATTAATCAAAGCAAGAATAATGGGCCATAATTTTTTAAAATAAATTCCTTTCTAACTGTACATTTCTATGTTATGTCAATAACTGTAGTGACTAAACTGAATGATATTTCTGGTTATCTGATGACATATACATACAGTGTGTACAATTATAAAATAATTGTCATGTCCAAAATGTAAGTCTACACAATCTTTATCATTTAACTGATCCAAAAGAGAAGTATTCCAAGTAGATGCTCATTATGATGCGTTTACAGACAAGAATACACAGTGGCGGAAGTGACTATCATTTTTTTCTGTCTGACAAAGATTTGATTGAGTTGATGACTAGTAATGAAAGGTTTGGATAAATTTATTGACATAATCTATTTTTTGCCATAAATATAGGAAGAAAAAGTTAAGAAAATACTTTCCAGATGCTGTATACAGGAAAATATGATTATTTCTGAAAGTATCTGTAATGTCAATATGGATTCCGATCAACCTAATGAGTACGTTTAAGTAAGCTTAAATATTTGTATTTATATTCAGTTAAGACGGATTCGCTTTACATAGTCCTGAAATTTTTTTCTAAAACCATGATGTTAATGTTGTGGTCTATGAACTGGATAGTTAGTTGCAAACTTTTTATTATCCATCTGAACAGGATCATCAGCACGTACTTCGATAAGAAGTGGGTCAATAGAATTTTCTCACAGTCGAATACTAGCTTGTTTTTTATCTGGAAATTGGTTGGTTATTATCCGTAACGGTGTGGTTGTTGCTTGTATGTTTGTTCTAGTTATTTTCTCTTCTGACCTTGCAGTTGTCAATCCTTTTTCTTGCTGAGTGATAGCTTTGGCGGATTCCGATGTATCTCTATTGATTGGTACTTGATTGGAGTGCCAGGCACCCAAATATTCTCCGGCTTTCCTTGTGCTTCCCCCTGCGCAATATTTCGACGTTTCCTCTATCGAACTGATATTTACAGCTATTCACTTACATTAATATGAGCGAACTTATGTTGTGTCGTTAAATAACTAACGGGTGTTCATGTAAACATAGACGAAAAGGGAAGCCATCTTGTACTATAAAGAGTTTGTTGCAGTTGTTGCAATTTATCTTGTAGATGATGTTGTGATTTTTTGTTTGTTATTGTGTCCTTTGGTTCCAAGAATATTGCTTGCAACGATTTTTTTTCGACTTATGGGCTACACCCGTTCCTGATGATTTAATTGAATCATTCAGGATCTCGGAGATGCTCTTCATATAGGGTAAAACTATCCTACTTCATTCAGGGTTGTATTTAAATATTTCATTGCTCAAGTTGATAGTAATGATAACCGAACCGTATGAAACTAATAACTTCTAGTCTAATAGGGAATTAGATTTCCCCAGCTCAGCACTTTGGTCTCATACTATAAGGTTGAATGATGTATATGAAAGTAAGCATTTCATTTTTCATCTTTATGGATGCGTGTGGGGAATGACAGTTAAAGGTCTCAAGGCATTTCGAGAACTATCTCAAAAACTGTAGCATCAGATACAACATACTGTGATATTCACTCAGCCACCTTCTTAGTGACCACAAATAAATCTTGATGTAAAATCCTAATAATAATAAGGACCGGAAATCACGGTCCATCTTATTTCCCAATGATCAACTTGTAGATTGTAGCGCTAAACTAGATTCTGAGTACAGCGCTCTGTAAAAGTATTTCTGTTTTGAAAACTTCCCTTACTGGAACATTAAGAGTAGAATTAATCTTGCCAATCACAAAAGCGACCTTCTGTAAATGCAGATTTAGAGAATGCCTGTAAAATCGGTATAACTGAAACACTAAAATGAATTTTTTCATAATCAAAAATATTCATAAGATTTCATGAAAACTAATAAATAGACTGACAAGTCTCCTAACTGAACGCTTGAATCAGTCTCCTAAACTCTTCTTATAACCCCAGGCTAAATCTAAACAACTTGAACATAAGGGGAAAGGTGTGAAGTGTGAAAAGAACCGTTTACTCCAAAGTCAGTTGATGTACAGAAAATCAAGGATATTTATAGTATTTCAGATGTCCTTCGGCTTCTGGAACCGTACTAAACGTAGCATAAGGATAGTTAATCATCCAATCGGAAATATGATACGTATCTTCACTTTCTAGATGTTTCTGAAAAGTTTTTATTCAACATTAATTAGATAGAATGTTTTACGGCGTTTTCACGTCCCCCCCCCTGGACTTTTCCTAAAACTACTTTGAATCTCCCCAAAATAGACAATAATATAATACTTGAATATTTCTTTTCATGAGAGAATCATTCGAAAATACATAATGCTTAATCATTTCTTTAATGCACATCGTACGATAGAAGACATCGTTATATCTCCCAAAGCTACCAACAATAACTCCAACTCGAATACCGTAATTTCGAAAACTTGATGATATACCGTTTCCTTAAGCTCTAATCAGAACAGCTGAAGTCAGGATGAGCAAGCCCAAGTTCTTGTTATTTTGATTCACAACATATATAATTTTATGAATGAAAGAACAGACCGTAGAATATCTGAGATGTCCAAATCCTCTAGTCGTATCCAATTTTTTCATTGTATTCCATGCTTTCTTTCAGATGTGGAGATCTTCATGATCCAGTCAATCACCAGAAGAAAGAGAAAGAATGAAAGTAAGCAGCCTCGTCTGACACCAGTTTTCACTTGAAATTCCTCTATTAGTTGTCCTTTATGTACCACTTTGCAATGTAGCCCGTCGTACGAATTCCGTATGATGTGGATGATCTTCTCATGTAAACCATAGTGTCGAATATTTTATGAGGTTCTCCTATACACATTGTCAAATGTCATCCCATAGTCAAGAAATTTGATGTATAGTGACGAGTTCCATCCAAATATTCGCTCAACAATGATCCTCAGTATCACGGTCTGACGTACGCACGACGGATCCTTACGGAAGCCAGCTTGTTGATTTCGAAGTTGAACGTCTACTTTTGTGAGGGAATAATGTGCCACCTATAACCATTTTGATGGAGTCACAAAAATTTGAAAATCATCATTCTTGTTTTCTCACAGAGTCAGTCCATGTCGTCCCATGATATCTTGATATCCGGTGTTGTCCAATTCGACTTTAGCGTTTAGGTCTTCCATCAGAATTATTAGGCCCTTTCTTAAACACTTATCTAAGATTGATTGCAGCCTCACATATAACTGATCTTTAATGTCGTCGTTGCTATCATTTGTGGCTGCATAACATTGGATAACATTCACTGTAATTCCCACCTTCCTTGTATTGAAGGACGCTTTGATGATTTTAGATATGTGAGATTCCCAACCAATAATTGCATTTCGTGCTTATTTGGACAGCATTAGAGCAACTCCCTGAGTGTATGGAGCATGTCGCTCTTCGTGACCGGAGTACAGCAGCATCTATCCCGTGACTGACCTTTGCTGTTCAGACTGTGCCCAATGGGTTTCACTGATTTTGAACACCGACAAGTTGTATCTTCCTATTTCCGTAGCTGTTTGTTTAGTCCTACTGTAGTGAACAGAACACGACCGGGGACAATCGAATGTATTTAAGCAAACATTACAGACTATCTCAGTAAATTCTGATAACCAAACAATGAACAGTCAATTTGCAAATTAACAACCAATTGTTTCAATCTTCACTGTTTCTTGTCTTACTCCATTGCTCATGCATTTTCCAAACGATTGCGCTTCATTTCAGTTCTTTACTCATCGGTCTCCTGCCAAAATACATTCTATGTCTGACCCACACCATATACTACTTATATGGATATAAGTAGACCACACCACACTACTGGTCTTTCAAAATTCCGGAAAATCCATGTACCTATGTAAATTTTTGCCCTGATTGTTCGAAGAGGCATCGACCTAGTGACTTCTGAAGTATCTCGGCTCTCACTAATAGACATCATAATTCTTTTGAATGAATATTCTTCAACTCCCAGATCGGAGTTTGAATGGTTTAAACGATATTTATATGGTTAGTGTTCTGTTAACAAGGTTGTTTTCTACGGGATGGGGTTGCTGACCCCATGCTCAACCCTCCTCCTTTACGCGGGCCTGGGACCGTCAGTAACCCTAGAAGAGCTACGGGCGGAGTCATATATATTTATTTTTCTTTCGGTTTCATTATAGTGAGGGTGTTGATTTTTTCAAAAAACATAATATTGTTTTCGATGGTGGTCTAGCTTATATCGACTCATGAATTCATCTATTAATATTACTACAATCGCCACAAATCCTTTTTTCTGACAAAATTATTTTCATGGATAATTAAACACAACTTTAAACAAAAATCTTATTAAAGGAATGAAAGTTCTTTGTGTTCTGCAAGTTCATACTTTATTATATGTACTGAGTTACACTACTTTGAGTTATTCCTCATCAGCATCAAATTTTTCTTACATATCATCTTCCTATACTAGCTATTAGTTGTTGAAGTGTTGTATTTCACCTGCTGTCATCGATAGAACTACTCAGATTAAAATATCACAATGGTTCCTTAATTAGCAAGTAGTGTAGGCCAACGGGAAACCCAAATATGTAACCATTTTTATAGAAATATGACGATTCCCCTTTGGAAATATTCATAGACTGAACAGATTAGAAGATATTCTACTTAGCATTTTCTACAAACTATATATCAACTGAAAATGGAGTTTCAAATTACGCTACTACTCATTAGTATTTGTTCTACTTCAATGACACTGGTAAAATGTGTGCGCCAATGGTTTTTTCAATGTCTAAGCATTGTAAAAACCATAAAAAACAGTCCGTCGCCTGAAAGTGTTCCATTTTAAAATAAGTTGATAGGAGTAAATATGTGTGATTACTAATTAGGATATATGATAGTAGCTCAAAATAAGAAACCCGTCAAAATATAAAATAAGTCATAAAATATATTCGATGTATATGTGTTAGATATCTGATTACGTATAGAGTATACCTTATTTTGTTAGACAAAAAAACAAATCTACGAAATGTAGTATTTCGAATAATGACTTACTGTAAAGTGTATGATCTAAGTTTCGTTCTGTTTGGGACTGTTAATCTTGATATACATGCATCCAACTTTAGCAGTTCCTCTGCAGATGACAAAGAGAACTGCAAACTTGATAGCCTATTATCAAGTTTCCGTGGATGATCACGTCCATCAGACTTAGACATAAGCTGCATAATGCTCACACTCAAGTTCGATATTATTGACGATTTGTTCTGCGGAACAGTATGTAGTTTTTCGAATCTTAAGCATGAACTGAAATCCCAAATGTGCCCTGCTCACCTACTAACTCACTGCGAACTTGCTTTGACGCTGACGTTGAGGATGACCCTCTCGATTGTGTAGGACTTGCTTGTTAACACTTATGGACAAAACAATTGGCGAGACGGCAGTACTCAGTAACCTGAATTTCGAATATTGGACGTGGCTGTTTTCAGCCTCCAATTCAGCCACATCCACATATCAACGGAATTACACAAAGATCCTTGTTTCTGTCTCCATTCCTCTCTACAAAAGATTAATAAGGTTACCGTACTGACTTCCTTGATTTTTCTGAGTTTAGTGGCAAGGCGTTTTCGTCAGTCAAACTACTGACATTGTAGACGGTCAAATTAAAGAACGAAACCAACTACTCATTCGCAGTCTGTAAACTGTCTACAGGCAATGAATGTCTCTGTCTTTGTAACTCCCCAGAGTAGTGGATAACCTTGCGCTTGATGACCGATTAATTGTCATCTGGTTGGATACTGTTCTCCAGGTGCATATCCACGAAGTTGGTAAGATGCAAACCCAACAACTCCCAATGATTAATGACAATATAGAGATTTCATCAAAATTATGCTATGTTGCGTTGGCCTTAATAAATGTTTTATTTCCCACTCTTTCTTCGTTTATTTTTCTTCACCCCCTCCTACCATTTTTTCCCTCAAATATACGTTTCACGGTCTAATTATCTGAACATTTCCTATTGCGTAATCTTATAATGTTTATGAATGTTATTTCAGTGTCTATATTTTTCTAATCATTGACCTATTCCCCATTATGTAACATTGGTTCAAGCCTTTTTTATTATCACAACTAGTACACCTGTCATCCCACTACCGATTGGTGCTTTTCACTTATTATGTTTAGTTATGTAATCTATTCCACTGTTATCATTGACTCATAAACCGCCTTGATTGGTTCAATAATTTCGTATATGCATATAAATATTACTGTATATTAGAGTGAAGCCTGATGAAGATCTAATCGAAAACAATATTGTTCGCTTATATATGTTGTTCTAAATCACAATATGGAAATTTTTCAAATTTTCAAAAACAAATAAACATTTATTAGTAATCAGTAATAATAAATATTCTTTTTCGTTATATCCCAATGAGTAGAAAAGTTGTATATCTGACGTCTCGTGACTTATATAAGCCACTTCTTCAGAGTTAATAAGTAACCGAATTAACACAAGTTTAAATAATACAAAGGAAACAATGAAGAATATTCTTGGTACAATCAAAATCATAATAGGTCTGAATAGGTCAATGTCAAGTTATTCTTCGTTAAAGTGATTTTGTATGACTGTATTAATTTGCGTGTCAGAGTATGGGTATGAAAAAATGTATGCATTTGTAAAATTAATTAGTGGGGTTGAAATTAGCCGTGTGTAGATTGTGTAGAAAATAAATAAGGTCAGATGTGGTTGTCCGGATAAATAGTCCAAGTTGGATGAATATTCAGGCCTCCTCTCCTATTGAGGACAGACGAATTTAACATAGTATGAAAAGCTTCGGCTACTCGCTTCTCTTTATAGTTGGAGAAGCCTTTCTGAATTATTTTGACATTTTTTATATCAATTTTGTGATTATTGACAATAGCATGTACTGCTGTTGCTGATTTGATCTGTAAATTTTCCAATTCTAAATGATTACTAGGTCTTTTTACGTAACTTAAATGTTCTTTGACACGAGTCGAGATCTCACGGGAAGACTCTCCAATAAAGGGCGCATCACAATCAATACAACCTGATCTGTAGAGACAATTTTGTATGGAAGTGAACGGGATTGTATTTTTTATTCTAACTAAAGCGTTTCTTGGATTGCTAGTTGTCTCATAGGAAGCGTTAATTTTGTACGTTCTCAACATCCATTCTAATTCCTCTGTCGTACCTTGGCGGTAAGGTAAAACCACAGTACCAATCCAAGATCTTTTATTAGGATTTTTATTTGCAGACGGACAGTTTTGTTTTGATAAGTTTTTGATAATATTCTTAGGAAAATTATTAAAACGTAGGATGTTTGTTATATTCCCTTTTTCTTCTAGTTTGTCTTTTTCTGAAGTAGTGATCCTGATTGCTCTTCTGAAGGGATTCAGGGCTAAGGAAACTCGCACTGAATGGACGTACAGAGTTAGGATCAATATACCGATTAGAATGTGTCGGTTTTCGGTATATGATAGATTGAAACTACCATTACAATTCCTTTTAACTGAACACTAAGAAAGGAAGTCCACTATGTTCATTTTCCACTTCGAAAGTGAATTTAATGTGTTCTGAGATCGTGTTTATGTCTGGATAAATTGCTGAAAGTCTTTTTAATGATGACAAATGTGCCATCTACATATCTGAGCCAAATGCGTGGTGTGATGATGCTGGCAAGAATAAGCGACTCAATGTGGGACATAAATAAATTTGCAACAATAGGAGATACTGGTGGTCCCATAGTTACTCCATTCGTTTGTTTATATAAGGTCCCTTTGAAACTGAAAAGTGTTGGATTCATGATTAAACTAATGCTTAGTTGACATCTGCCAAATAGAGTAATATCATTCCCTAGTAAATCATTAACGAAATCTAGACATCTATAAACTGGAATGCTAGTGTATAAAGATACAACATCATATTTTACCATTGTTTAGTTCTTGTTGATGGATAACTCGGAGATCTTTGATTTGAATTTGTATGAATCCTTTACGACATTGATTAGGTTGTGTTGAAGTGGCATTAGTAATAACTGTTGTAGCTAATAAAGCTTAAACATGGAATTTTAGCATGTGTTCAAAAAGATTCAACATGAAATGATAAATTAACACAATGTATGTGGTAATAATGATCTAAGAAACGATAAATTTATGTTTGACAAACCAAACAACCTAAAATATAACACTCATTAGATGTTAAATTGATATATTTATGAGTAATAGAGGACAATATTAAGTATTTTAGCACAATCTACTACTTAAACCACACACTAAAATGATTATATACCTTACCAGGACATTATGATTTTTGATTAAGTCATTATAATATTTTCACTTATTTTAAAGAAGCTATTTTTCAATGCATGTTATCTTGTAGACAAACTCCCTCCACCTAGGATAAAGTCGAGGAGTTGGACATTACAAGAGTCAGATTGTGAAGTACAAATAACTAGTGATTTATGTATGTTTTTCACCACTTGTACAAACAAACCTATTTTGTATACAGCTGGTAATAATAAATCATCTTTAAATATGAAATATATTTATCCTAACAATTCATCCAACTTACCGTCAATTCCCTGTACTATTGTTTAAGTGATTTTTTACTGATTACGTTTCGGGAAGATTTCAACACTAAAATTCGTATATACCATTTTAACTAGAAAAGCGGGTTGTAGATATTATTCAAACACCAAAAGAAAAAATCAATACCTTATATTGTTGTGTTTTACTTGAGGGATATATTAAGTTAGATTTTTCTAGTTCATTTTTTCATTTATTGCACCAGATACATATGCGCCACACAAATCTCATTCATGCGGCAGAGGCTATATCCGTGTGGCCATGTGAGAGCATTTCGAGAGGGAGAGCGGGCTCTCCCCACTCTCGGCCGTACCAGGGCATTTGGGGGGCTATCAGGGCACTCGGATTTTCTCATTGCGTATATGATTGTCACGCATTACACTAGATATCTAAACAGTGACTAATATATCACATGTCAACTTGAATCACAACTAGAATACGCTATTATCCCGAATAACGCATTTATATCCTATCAACTAACAGATTTAGAAAAGTATTTAAACTGAAATGCACATAATTGTTCGTCTGCGTTCATGAGTTAATCACAGCTTACTACGATCGGAAGAAAATCAGGATACATTTCCCCTCAATTATTTGAACTTTTGATTTGTATTACAAGGATAACTTTCAGACCAGTTAATACTTTGTGTCAATTTACTCAATTCAACTTTTCCAAAAACTTTTGTTAGGTATTCCCACAAACACCAATTTCATGTACACACCTTATTTACTACTCTGATGGGTGACACTGTATAAAATGTAGTGTCAAGCAAAATTCACAAGACTAATGAAGTGACCCATATGTTGAAAAGCAATGATTGCATATTCCATCGAAAGTTATGTGTTTTATGCCTAATGATGGAGAATTCAAACGCTAACTCTACAAATGATATCAACCTAATGCGACATAACGATGTGCGGCAAATAGTGCTTCAAACGTTATATCCTATGGCCCGTCAAATGTCACGTGACAAAACCGCCGATCAGAACACCAACTTGTATGACCCTGTCCATGTATTAAACCAATGATACGTTGGCCAGCACGAGTAGCCTTGAGTCAACTCTAAGTCCTTATTGGTCCTCTGTATAGTAGCTCCTCAACTAACGCAGGCCGTTCAGTCCAGAATACAATCCCAGACTCCGCTTCCTGAATTGTTTACTTCATATATATTTGAATTATTTACAAGCAAACCAGACCGCATCACACCATAAGATGAGGAATAATGATTAAACAAGCCAAAAGTGGCTATGTGAGATACCGTAACTGACAAATCGGGAATAAGTTAAGAATGGTAAGTCGCATTGCAGTAACCAATAGGTCAAATGAAAGATTATAATAAAAGGCATACGAACATTATATATATATATATATATATATATATATATATATATATATATTTATTTATTTATTTATTTATTTCAACGTTATTAACATACATGCCTAAAAAGCTGATGACATTTTGTAAAAACTTTATTTCACCTACAAAAAGTAGTATTACTGTACAACTTATTTGAAAATATAATCTATGTTAGTGGTCTTGTAAAATATGATGTAACACTGAAGGATAAAGTAACCAATGAGAACAGAGCAAAGGCCATGAAGGGAATTAGGGATTTTGGACTCGTAATAGTAAAACAATTTGAATTGTAAAACTAAAAAGAGCATTTTAGCGGTACTTATCGACAAGATATAATGGTAAAAAGATAGGAGAAAAGAATGACTTACAGCAATTATCGTGAACATAAGAAAGTAGCCTTGTCAAGTCACTCAAATATACAGACAATTCTAGTCATTTGTAATATAACTCACTTTAAAATACATTCATATAAATCTTTATAGAGAAAAATTCAACGAGGAAACAACAAAGATGAAGGAGACGAAGACATTATTAGATTTAAAAATGATGTTCCATTTTGAAATCGTTAATATGTTTGCGGTACATAGAGACTTTCAAACCCAATTGGTCAATTTGATTTATGATGTGATCAGCTTGTAACAATAACTGCTTCACAGATTCTGGTTTTCCCAACATTAAATCAACAGCGGCTAATTGTAATATTGAATGTATTAGAGTATACACAGTTTCGTGCATTTCATGTTGTTTTGAAAGGTTTGATTTCAGTAGTTCATTATCATTAGAGTAATTATCAACGAAAGATTGATACTTGGTTTGACTTGTTTGAATAACTTGTTTAAGAATACGTTGAGACTCAATAAATTTATTTAAATCAGCATGGATAACGCTAATATCAATTAATAAATTTAAACAATTTGCATGGTCTAAAGGATAAATTTGACTGGCGATTTCATAAGCTCGTTGGGCATAAACTAAAGCTTCTGTTTGTCTTTGATTCGCAAAGAGAAATCTGTGAATTGAAAATAAATATGTAAGTAATTGGACGCAATTTTCTGTAGCTATAAATAATTATCGAATTCCGTGGGACTATAATTTATGTACGACTTTTGAGTGATACAGAAATGACTTTAAGAAAATCCAACCGCTTACTGGGGTCAAAAGAGGGTTATGAATTATTGAGGAAATAGGATTTGAATTTAAAGTTAGAAGTTAGGATTGGTAATTAGAGTTAGGGTTTTCGTCACAAACGGAAACCATCTAAAATGCCAAAAAGCTATTTAACCATATAGGTGATTAAATTTACGCCAAAATCCAGGACTTGCTATGTAAATCTCATTGGTTCGTTGATAAATCATAGTCTCACCTCGGATTTGAAAACAACTGGTCACTATAGTTTCCATGTACACCAGTTTTTAAACTGATATACCGAGCTATTCAAACAGGTTACACGATGAGCGCACGCTATTTGCCTAGATTTGGATTCATTTTCTAGGGAAAGAAGCGTACGCCATTGGTTGAAAATGCAGTTTGACTTTCTAGAAAAGAAAGAATTTTATTAATGTACACATCTTGAATTTAGTCAATAAAAGCTTCCAAGTGACTTGGTTTTCTCACTAAAGAATCTGGTTTGGGCTTGGATATATATAGCTTGTACACTAGCATCAGAATAAGATAACCGCACAACATAACATCAACATTGACTCATAGGTTAAATTGCGTACTTTCTATTTATTTCGATGACTTGAGTAAAGGCTAATTAGTGCCCATATTTCTAATTTTTGATGGGAAAGGTTACCTTATAATTCATAGTAATCTCTTCTCTGAACTCAGTTCAGAGCGAAGATGTGAAAAGCTGCTGTAAATTTGAAATTTGATTTGTAGTGAAAATTATGCTAAATTCGCACTTGTTCTTGATTGAAAAAGACAAACGTATTGGGTTACAGAATATACAGCTTGCATGTAAACCAATTACTTATTATTTGTTATACGACCTTATTTTTTGAATTGTGAGTAGTGCATGTTTGGTTGACGTTTCGTTGTATACACGCCTTAAGAACAGCTTTAAGTAAACTCCATTTGATTTAATATTGTTCATTGAACACTCTAGGAAGACATAATATTCCAAATACAATGTACAAAATTTTGGAAATATTAGCTGGTTATACTTTGTTTACTAGCCGAACTTAAATGAAACATCATTTATTTCAATTTGCATTTTATTTTATTTATTTAAACATATAATGTTAGCGGAATATAGATTGGACTAAAGCATGTTCCGTGCAGGATTGTGTTGGTGCACACTGACTAGCTGTTTCTTATCCAATCAGCGCTAGTCGATACTTGGAGAAGTCCCTAGAATCTTCTCATGTGAAAGCTATAAATATACTAATGTTCTTCTTATTACCCTTCCTACTTCCATCTACCCTTGTTATTTGGAATATAACTTCGTTCTTGCTCAACTGTGTTCTGATTTGGGGACTTGTCGAGTGAAGGATACTAAGCAATAGGAGTAGCTGGGCCGTAATAAAAGAAATTATAACAAATGAACATTGGTACAAGGGGGCATCATATATATATATATATATATATATATATATATATATATATATATATGCGCCACACGTCATCATTCGATTTTTGTGAGGGCTGGAATACTGCCCGGGTGCCCAGATTGAAGTAGGCGGTTTCATTGGGTAGAGCACACCCCGACCCTTTGACCTTGAGGTCTAATCCACAAGCCAGACGAGCAAAGTTAGGAGATGCAGCCCTATGATAGCCGGTGGCGAACAATAGGTTCATATGCCATTTGTTCCCCAGGATCCGGGAGTCCATGTGCACAATTGGTTTGGAGTCAGGGTTTTCCAACTCCTCTAAATAGATCCTCCATATCCACCGCCACAGCTAAAGTGCTAGACATTCGCTTTTCACCCTCTCAATTTCGTAAACAACACTTACGCCGTGAGAAGGCAGTGAATGGGACTTCTATGACAGTTGCTGTATACGCATGGTCATGTGAGAGTATCTCGAGGGAGGACAGACTCTCCCCACCCTCGGCCGTACCAGGACACCTGAGGGCATTCCAATTTGCAAGCTTTAAGAGCGAATTCTTGTACCCGAACATTTAAAACAAGACTATCGAAACTATTACACGAAATAAATTTTATGTTTATTACACATGTCACGAGTATTGTGCTATCACAAACCTGACATTTCAACCCAATAAAAGTCAGTCGACATCAAAGCGATGATAGTTCAATGATTCATTACGACAAAAACGAATCTCAAATCTAGACATTTGATGTTTCTTGTCATCTAAATCCTGAGCTGATAAACTACGTATTCAGTAAAAAGCTTCTAAAATTGATTAGGCTAAATGATTAGGTGGAGTCTCATTTAGTTGTATTTACAAAGACTATCAAAAGAACTTACTTGCTAAAGTAATTACAACACATTCCTAGTAAAGCTTTTTCATTTATATGGTCGATATTTTCATCGAAACTTGTCATCTTTTTCTCCTGATTTTCTATACAGAATCGAAAACCCGTCTCAGCATCATCTAATTTACCAGACTTTTCGAAAAGCATGGACAATTTAAGTGACAGCTCAATAAACATTGCATCGTTTGGTGATATTTGGGCTGTTAAACAATCCTCCATTGTCTGTTTAATTAATTTTTCTACTTCTGAATAATTTCCCATAAGTAGATTTAGATTTGCCATCTCGGAACATATTCGTGCACGTTTATTGATGTACTCGCGATTGGTTAACTCGCTATTTTGATAAGAATGGTTGATAAACCACAATAGTTCATGTAACTTATCATTTGCCACACTAAATTCACCCATAGATATATGAAATAAGGAATCATTGAATAGTTGTTGACACTGTTCATGTATATCTTTCTTTTCCCATAATTTTAATGGCCACCAAGTAAATGATACAGTAAAAGATAAAGTTTTGGTAAATGTTGGTAAAACTCGAGGACTGGATTGAGTATACAATAAACTGAGATATGAAAATGAATAAGTTTTATAACCTGAATAACATGAGTTCATCTATTTTAACAGTAATTAAAATATATCAAAGGTCAATGACTATGGTATTTCTCATTAATATACTAAGTATATAGTTAACAAACCGATTACTTTGTAGGTAAAGTGACCTGCTGTTCGTTACATCGAAGAGTAATGAAACTATAGGTAGTAAATTTAAAGTCTGACAGCGGAACTATAGAGAAGACTGTATCAGTATGTAATAGAAGTAAGATGTTCCCTACGAATAGCCAGCTTCTTCATTAACGCTACCTACTGACGAAAACAGTTGGGCCGAGAAATAGTACGTCTTATTTGCGGTGCTAGTCGTGAGGTCCTAAAAGTAAGTACATAAGACATCGAAAACTCATAAATTTGTGAGTGGTCAGCCCGAAGCAGAAATTACTCGAACTATGAGGATACGATCTATGTATCACAAAACTTTCCCTTCCATCAAGTTTCATTATCAGGGCCCTTAGAAAAGATACTTTCATCGTGCGTGTGTGTAAAAGAGAGAGAGCAAGAAGCGATAACAACGCGGTTTTACATACTTAGGTAGAAATGACTACTGAGTCCCATAGAACTATCCAGCAAGTTATTACATCAATATGAACATCAGTTATCCACAATTTGGTGTAAATGTAATGGTAAAAAAGCAGGTCCCAACCTCCCTATTTTGGCGGACCACGTGGTTCAGTGATAAAACACCTCATTCAGACCCCTCTTTAGACCACAGTTTCGAACCTTCCCGCAACCACTTTGATGTAATAAGTCAAATGATATCATTAACCACTACACAGTGCTCCTCAAAGTTGCATGCCGAAACCCGCATTCAGCAAAAACAGTACATTAAGTCTAATGGTTAAGTAATAATATTACAGCCTACAAGAAAATTGCAGTAGTACTCCTAACACTGTTAGGGAAGCCCTACTCATTGCCTTCTCGTGGCAAAGTGTGTTGCTTACGAAAGTGAGAGGACGAAAAGCTAATGTTCGGCGCTTTAACCGGGTTGGTGGACACTAAAAGTCCTCCTAGGGGAGTTGGAAAACCCTGATTCCAAACCAATGGCGCACATGGGCTCCAGTATCCTGAGGGAACAAATGGCGTATGAATCAATCGTTGGTCACCGACTACCAAGGGACTGCATCTCCTCACGATGCTCCACTGCCTTGTGGATCAGACCTCTAGGTCAAAGGCTCCGGGTGTGACGCCTTAAGGAAAGCACCTGTTTCAGTTTAGGCACCCGGTCAGTATCACAGCCCACAAACAAACCAAGTGATTTTGTTGCGTATATCTATTTGGTGCCCCTTTGTACCAATACTTGTGTTCGAATAAACAAATAAATAACAAGAACAAATGAATTGATTTTAGTAGCAATGTCTTACCAGCCATCTTTATTTATATGGAACTACAAGAACGGGAGTTCACTTGAATGTATTTATGCATTTACAAAAGTATAAAGAAATCTTAAGAGTGATATGCAACCACTTAGGTGCTAATCCTAACAAAATAAATTTTTGACTGAAAGTAGAGACAGAAAGTTCCATTCAAAACCTAAACTTCGACATACTTGTAAACACGATAACGATAAAACCTCGTAAACCGTAAAATATACTTCAGCATTTTAAACTGATATACGACCAAAATTCATTTTACCATAATCTCCAATATACCTGCAAATATTTAAGACGTATTAGTAAAATTTTATGGTTAAACAGCCAAAATAGGTTCATGCAATTAGATTTCGGGAATCAAGTATTTAATTTTGCTTCCAAACAAATTTTGTGAGGCCGCATTCGGAATATGGGATTTAAACAGCGACTTCTTGATGAAAAGAGTTCAAGGGCGAGGGATCAAAATGCTAACACGTCACTCGCCTATCTTACGAAGACAGACGGAGACGCTTTAACCTAGTTCCTTTATCCTAGCACAGGTTACAGACTGACCTGATACTGGCTTACTGAACACCAAACAATGATTTTGGTATTATTATGTCAAAAAACCGAGATCAAATCGTTTACGTCTCGAGTGCCGTTTCTTGCACCGAGTACTGAATTAATGGATCACTTTGGAATTATAAACTCAATCTCAAGTGGAGTTTTTACAATACTAAAAACTGCAAGGGTAAATGTAGGTCGGTTGACCTGTCCTTATGAGGATAGGAGGTAAACTACTGAAATGGACGGGACTGTGGTTTGTGGATGAACCAATTAGACATGAGATAACCAGACTTGGATTTCAGTGTGAAATTCACTCATCCACATGGCTAAATAATGTCTTGGTACTTTAACTGTCAGTGCGTGATGAAAACCATAAATCGGTGAGGCTAACTTATAGACGACCTTTGAGCGACGCTAAAGTGGCCTTGAGAATGTCCAAATTGTTTAAATGTTTCAAATGGTTGTGGACGGAATTGAAGAAGCTTAAGCTTAACGGGCTTCCGTGTCTAGTAGCAGTAGATCAGCAATACCTCCAGGCCAGAACCCTTTTATGTTAACGATAACAGAGGAAAAAAAGAATTTGATAGATCATATTAATATGTTATCCTTAGTCTCTATGAATAGGTCAAGTTTCCTCTTAAAGGAATCCTGGGAAGTAGCTTGGACTAGCATAGTCGGCAGCGAAATCCAGCATTTGATAGCTCTTACGGAGTAGAAGTTGTGTCTACAGTCTGTTCTGCTGTGTTGGGTCTCCAGTTTCTGGGTGTTATCTCTTAGGTTAATGTTATGACTAAGCTTAAGAAGATGTTTAAGGGGATGACCAGAAGTATTAAGGTCACCTCTAAGACACCTGTACTCTAACGGGTATAGGTTAGGTCATTGGAGGCTCTCTTCATAAGGTTTGAATTTGAGTCCCCGAACTGATTACGTGGCTCGACGTTGGATACGTTCCATAGTGTCCTTATCCTTTTGGAATGAGGGAGGAAATACTATGTTTCCGTATACTAAATGGGGACGAATAAAACTGTTGAAGATTAATTGGAGTGTCTTTTTTATGAAATGGCCCAAATATTCTTCAACGTCACCAGTGCGATATTTGCGCGGAAGGCATTTTTATTACAGTCAGCGTAAGACTTGAAGTCTTGGGTTATCAACACTCCCAAATCTTTTTCAACTTGTTGTAGCTGTAAATAATTCCCCAAAATCAATAGCTTTCTAAGTGCTCGACATTGGATGCTGACCACGTTGTTTAAGTGGACTTGTTTTACTGAAGGCTTTCCGTAAGGCATCCGTACCAGATCACGTTTCGACTCGGCGTGGGACACAGCTCCTACGTTTCACTAGCTACCTAAGAACAAATGTTTCTCTATATATTGATAACGTATCAAATATATATTTCCTACCTCTTCTCGTCTGACTTCTGATTTCCATTGGGCGAGAAAAGCTTCGCATATAGAAGGTGCTACTGGTCGCTAGTTGTCAAACTAGAATACCAGTCGTATCCTCATTGTGAAACCTCAAAAGGATAGTTGCCTAAATTGATTTCGTAGTCTCCAACATGTCTCAGATGAACTACTTTACACTTTGAAGTGTTGATGCTTATTCCGTTGTTGTCTGCCCAACTTTGAAGTTGAGTCAGATCCTCCTGAAGTGCCATTATATCCTCTTAGTTGTGTAACTCCCTCCAAAGTTTCACGTCATTAGCAAAAAGCAGGAAGTCAGATGAGACTTGTAGTGAAAGATGGATTATATAAATCGAGAAGAGGCCCTAGTAATGAGCTCTGAGGGACCTCACTAGGACATTGCATAGCGTGAGAGAGTAAGATTCCGTTTGAGTGGCTGTTCTATAACAGAGAGTGTTACAGTATCTGGGAAAGTGCTACAAATTACAACCAAAATGCACGATCCCAGTCAAAAATCAAATCGCACAATCAAAGAGCGAACGGTCAATATGGCAGCCGCCAGAATAATATCAATGAAAACAAGTTATATACAGTTCCTGTAAGAAACATAGAAACTTAATGAAAACGATAGGAAAAACGAGAAAATTAAACGTTACAGTTTCAATTGGCATCAAAAACGTTAACAATATGTACAACTAAAGATACCATAAAGAAGAAATTGCAAATGTATACATGGAGGGATTTTCACCTTCATAATAGATTCTACACCGGCCCTCAAAATCCCTCCATACTACACAAGTCACTTCGATGCCTTACGTTGTGGTTCACCTTATAGTATAATCCTCAACAAAGGTACAAGTAGGACTTACAGCAATACGCCTACCCGTCCTCCCTATGGAAGCCTTACTCATTAACCTCTTATTCATTCGACTGGTTACTAACTTTATCTTCCCATCACTATTTGCTTCATAACCTTTGACCATTGCTAAAGGCCACCTTCTATGGGTCGAAGTTCCTGCAACCATAATTACTTTATCTCTTTTCTTTGCAACAGAAGTTGCGAAGTAGTTTACTCTTCGTTGAGAAATCTCATTAACGCGTTCGCAAGCCACAACCAGCTTAGAACCCCGGTCACTGTTGTTTTCACCATCGACATTAGCTGACGACCTTAATCGCTTACGTTTGTTCTCAAAGGTTCCTCCTGGTATTTTATACTCTCCTAATTGAAGCGCACTTTGGTCTCGAATCGATTTAAACTTCTCAACTACTTGCCTCTCATATCCACCCTGCTTCCAACCTTCGGCCGAATTTTTAATTTCAAAACCGTGCTCTGCTAATTCTTCACATTCATCTATCAATCGAGACTTCACATCCAACTGCTCTTGAAAAATAGGAAATTTGTTTTCCAAATCAGTTCTAAGTAGTTTCTCAGCCTCAAGGTCTCGTTTCGCTTCCTGGAACCGTTTTCCTTAAATGTGGTAGTCACTTAGGAGTGTCTCGTAAGCATCACGACCCCGTTCCTTTTCAAGACTTTCTGTCTCTCTCTCTCTGTAATTCACGATTCTCTCTACCTCGTTTGATAGCTTTCATCGTCGTGTCATTCGTTCCCGCTCTTATATGCTTAAAATCTAGCTCGGTCGTGATGTTGGGTTTTTGATAACTCATATCATAAAGGGGGATTGTATTAAGCTTGTCAGCACAGCAAAAAACCATTCCTTGATTCTCTAGCCTTTTTGGGTTTGACATAGTATGACGAGAGCGACAACCTAACCGCGATTTTACTTCAAGGTCCTTCTTCGTATAGCCAGCAGGGACATTGGTCTGAAAACCTTTAATATCTCTGGTAGGTAGGTCGTTACCCTTGAACAATCTACGCTGCAATCCACCGTCTGCTACTTTACATTTTCCGTTTCCCATATCCTAGGTATAGGAACCACAAAATGACTATTTTCGAAGCACGTGTTCATGTTCACAACCTGTGTATTCGCATCTTCTTCAAATACTGATTCATCACTCCAATGGATATCGTGAGACTTCCCATCATTAGGCTTACGTACTTGGACTCTAATATTTCGTACCACATTTGTATCATTACCGAATCTTTTTCTATAGCCCAGATCAGATGCAGGTCCAAAGACTGCCCACCCTAGCAGCGTTTTCACTGCATACGGACTTTTTCCACATAACCGTTGATCAAATACCCGGTGGGCTTCCGGAACATCACAACCAATCAATAATACGATTTCACCAGAATCTAGAATATCTAAGGGCACATCGCCTAAATGCCCAAGCTGTTCATTACTGACTTCGTCGGCTTATGTCCTGGTATTCGCGACACTACCAGAGCTCCTTCAATATTAACATGCTCGGATTGATCTAAACAGTATACTTCGAGAGACGTCTTTGTAACCCCTGTAGTTTTGTTACCACTTACGGTTTGTACTACCACTGACGTCTGATCCTCCTTTAGCCCGAAGAAACTTCAAACAATCTGACGTAATCAATGTTACTTCAGAACCATTATCCAAAACGGCGTAGCCTACAATTTCAGCATTCCCCGATCTCAACCGCACGGGGATCATTCCCAAACACACGTACGCTCAGTTAAACGTGGATTCCTTCACCTGGGAATATATCGGTTTACCTTTTTCTAGCGTATCAACACTGTTTAATGAATCGTCAATGAAGAATTGCTACTTTGCCGTCCGTTATATATTTTCCAAAAACTCAACCCCATCTTGAGTAGTTCTTGGTAGAGCAAACGTTACACAACTTGTTGAGGAAGTCGTCCCAAACAAATGTGCTTTCAACGAATATGAAAGACAAAAGACTCTTCTTAATATCGTAATGACGTGTAGAGAAGTCTAAATAGTCGCCTTTTCATGTTGAGGACAGAAATTCAGGTCTGAATATTTCTGTGGATGCCGTTGATGAACTAAGTATCATTCCTGCGAACAAAGCTGAATGAGGCCGGACTACTTGCCCGGTTACATTTCAAACAGTCAACAGACTCGAGACACGACGTCTCTACAGAAGTTGACGCTAGATTTAAACTTTAGGAGGTAATTACTGTGTGTTATCACTGTAGCAGTTCAAGATCTGACTATTGTGAGAATGGACATAGGGATGCAACAAACATTCAGTGTCTGACGACGCTTTTGTTCTTCTTAACACCGTAACCGAAGGATACCAACCCAGTAAAATTAGAAGTTAGAACTGAAGGGGTTCAAAGTTATTTTTGGAAAGCTGGTAAGCCGATGAGACGGATGCGTAACACGATTTACCCCATTCGTGATCTGGTGCGGACATGTGACCAAGAGCCTTCAGCTAAGGTGTGTCCAGTAAAAGTAATAAATTCAGCATCACTGTTGAAGATATGCAGCATTGTTTATTTCGAGGGTGCATTTACCTCTACATAGCCGCCATAGGTTTCCATTTGTGAACTCGACGCTAAGCGTGTCCTCATTGCTAGTTTGCGTACCGAAGAACATAAATTCTATGTACATTCTGCAACTTTGGGCCTCGTTGAATCTAAAATTCGTTTAGCCGAATGCTGTCCATATGAATGTAGCCAAAAATTACTCACGTACGACTCTGTGTAATTGAAAAGGTGTTTACGTCACAGCATGGAAACTTTTAGACAGTGAAAACACAAAGAAATAAACAATGACAGAATTAAGGTCAATAAGAACCAATCAACATCGAGGTGCAGAGGACAAGCTGTGAATCACATGTGGAGAAATTCAAACACTTCACTTCTACCCGAAGTTTGTGCTGACGATGTCGTTCAGAAGGACGATGAAAGCTCCACGACCAAACCATCCAGCTCAGAGAACAAACCAGCATAAAAAAACACAATCATCTTCATCTGAGACCCTATGTTATCAGTAAATTTCGTCATTACCCTGATTATAAGATTCATGATGAAGTCCTGTTTCATTTCGCAAATTGATGATAAATATGGTCAATAGAAGTGATTCTGTTGGACCTTAACCTTAACGAATTTTTACACGAAACTGGATACCGAATGTTATTTATCAAGAAATCATTTTTCATATAGTGGGCGTCGAGTCGCGATTGACTATGATCACCAATACAGGAAAACTACGTGCCAGTTGCTAGGTGAGACCCCTCCGAAAGCCAAATATCGGAAGGCAGTTGAGGGTTGTAGTAAGATGTATTTGTTGACGATACACTTACAATACTCTCATTCCAACATTTGGCCTAGTAATTTTCCTTATTAAGGGTTTTAACAGGCTTTTTGACGGTAAAAACAAGGTTTTGGTGGGCAAACGAGAGTAAATAATTGATCTCAGCGACATCAAGATACCATGATAACACCTAAAATTTACGGAAACACCTGAGGGTTGTACTTGTAACGTATCTACAAATATTGGGTTCATTAGGACTTGTAGATTTGCATGACTAAATTAATTGCATTGTGTTGAATAAAATACCTTGAACCTCACCATAACATCCAGACGCTCATCTGAATCTGAAATAAACCTGAATATTTGGAACCTGCTCTTGTTTACTCACTCAAATTCGCTTGTGGCGGTAATTCGCGTGGCTAGTTCTTTGGTACTGAGCGATGGCGGATTTTAACAATCCTTTGCAAAAGTTTAAGCTGGTGTTTTTGGGGGAACAGAGTGGTAAGTTCTTATAAAATTGCCAGGATACATTCAAATTTAAGTCGGGAAGACATCCCTCATTACTAGGTTTATGTATGAAACTTTTGACAATCTGTATCAGGTACAATAATAAGTAGTACAATAATATTCTCACCTTCAAGGCAACAATCGGTATTGACTTCTTATCAAAAACTATGTACCTTGAAGATCGAACTGTAAGTTTAAGAATGCTAACGAACCCAACAGATTCGTTTGCAATTATGGGACACTGCGGGACAGGAACGTTTTCGAAGTTTGATTCCCAGCTACATACGTGACTCCTCAGCTGCAGTTGTTGTTTATGACATATGCAGTATGTTTTGCTTCCAATTTCTATCGTTTAGATGCTGGATCTTTTCACCAGGCTTCAAAGTGGGTTGATGACGTCAGAAACGAACGAGGGGGGGATGTTATTATTATCCTCGTTGGAAACAAAACGGATCTATCTGATAAAAGGTAAGTAAAAATATCCTATCCCCTTATGTTGCAGAAAAGTAACTACTGAAGAGGGTGAGCTTCTTGCTAAAAAACTAGAAGTCATGTTTATTGAAACGAGTGCGAAGGCTGGATATAATGTCAAAGTTGTGAGTCATGAAATAATACAATTTTGGTTAAGTTTGCTTTATTGTCATATGTATAAGTAATATCTTAGTCTTTACTTCAAACTTCTGTTCTTCATGTCTAAAGATGACTCAATGTTTTCTTCAACTGTTTAAATCTGTAAAGTAAACCAAATTTACATCGATCTCATGCATCAAAGTGTGTCTGAGCGTTTATGGCTTTTTAATTGAGTGGATTTGTTATCTTCTAGTATTTGGGTTTTCTAAGGACCTCCAAAGTGTGACGTGCTGGATTTTGTAGCGCAAAGCCTTTCTTGTTAATAAGTACATATATTACCACTTCACAGTTCTTCAGAGATATCTACCCACTTTGGTGTCGTAGGGTTAGTTTTTACAATTATAATTTCAAACTCCATGATCTAGCGCTATCTTATCCCAATCAGACATGTTTCTTAGCTAGTTTTGAAATAAAATTTTCTGACCATTTAATCTTCAACGCTGAAGTATCTGCTCTCGCTATCAAACATAGTGACGCGCTGTTTGCTGCGTTCTCTATAAGCGATTGTAAAAGCGCCGCCTGTACGATTTATTAACACTTGTATTTATTGTTTTTATATATTAAAACTAAAATGACTAGTTGTATTCGATAAGAGAAAAGTCAGTTGGTTCGTTAAGCGACGAACCTCCCCTTAAGTACACTCACTCTCTTTCCTTGAACGCCAAACATCTTCTCTCCATGTATTCTAATATCCACTGACTTGTTTCGTTTGACTACTGCACTACATTAAGTTCCCAGTTAATTTGTTGGTTTGTATGTTTGGTGAACGTTTAAAAATATGTCGAGTAGTTCTGCTGTGGTTCACCTAACGATATACATGGATATGATATGAATAATACCTTTGCTCTAAGTTATCGCGAAAAAATCGGTTTCAACCCAGAGCAAAAGTATGTTGACCGGAATTTTATTCAACGCTGAATTCTAGAACGTGATAAAACTTACTGGTGCTACACATTTATCCTTTTTTGACTTGAGTTCTGCTTCACAGTAATCCATGAGTATTCAGTTAAGTAATGGATTACCAAAGCTAGTTTATTTTGATCTGACTCAAATACTACGTTGCGGTGTACGTAACTACCAGACAGGGAAACTCATGATAAGGCATCAATTTTTTTACATGGATTACTATGAAACCTTATTCGCTGGACCGGTTTGCGAGCGAGGTGTTAATATACAGTTGCTTTCTATCATAATGTTCGATTGACTCGAATTAATTTTTAGTAATAACATTATTATACAAGAAAACTATATGCATAAATGATAGCTACATGTGAAGTGTAAAAGGAAGTGTTAACTGTTTGGCATTCTAAAAATATCAGAAATTTGTATTTGTATGTGATCTGTATGGTTCATGGTTCGATTTACTCTTATCTACTTCACCTTTGTTTTCAGTTGCATCTATTACCAGTTCTCTTCATTCACTGTAGTAAAGAGTGACTGCTGGCTATGGTTTATTGTCACATCTTAACCAGTTAATCAAAGTTTAGTATCATTTCTAAACCGTGTTCCAGCTCTTTATTACGGTAGTGATTTCAAGTATGTGATAAATCAGTAATTATATTTTCATTTTGTATGTATTTTTTAGCTGTTCCGTCGAATCGCTACAGAATTGGTCGATCAAAAGAGTCCACTATCCAGACATGATGATTGTATCCTTTCCGATCTTATCTATATATACATTGTTTTATCTTTCCTTGGGCATTTACTCAGCACTACGAAGAGATTTTTAACTTATTTTAGACACCTAGAGCATGTATGCTGGTTAGTTCTACGGTGCTATATAAATGAGAACATTTCTAGCTGGTAGGTCTCAAATTCAAACCCTGTCTCACCTACTTCATTAATTTGTTAAATGTCAGGTTCTTGATCCTTTTTATCCCTGTAAAAGCTTTCCCAAACTGATTTATCAGTCTTGGTTATTGTTAGTATTCAATGCTGCTCCTTGGTCAAATCCAAAAAAGTCCGTTATAGATATTCAGTCCTTGGTAGTATCTTGCTATAGAACGAGTTGTAAAATGACTAACAGGTATGATAATTATATATCTAATTTGGAACGGTAACCTAGACCAACTTAGACATTTAATAACCTGTAGCATCTCATGAATAGGGGTGGGGTTCAGAAAAGACGTTTTTAGTTAGCAAGACTGTCATCTGCGTATTCCAAGTCAATAAATCTTCTGGTAGGCATATTTTTTCCCATATTGTAGTAATCCTCTCATCAACACAAACCTAACAAACGGTTCTCACTACATATGAGACGTTCCAAATATGCATTACTTTACTAAAACCAATGTTGTTCTGCGTATAAATGCTTTATTAACATTTAGTGAGGCTAACTTGACAGTCTATCATCACCAGGACTTTTTTATCTGCCGTTAGGTTCGCGACAAATTGCACTACCTGAAACCTAGCCGAGTCATTAAATGTAGAGTCTTTGCTCTGCCTTGTGCACTCCTTAGCCACTTTTCCCCCACTTGGTATAGACGTAAAGATAGGTGCATAAGGGACTGTTGTTTTAGTTATAGTGATCTCAGGTATTGTTGTTTGTAGTAGTTTCACTTATGTAAGATTTTGACATTATTTTTAATTATCAAACATTAGAAGATTATTAGCTTGGCAAGAAACTAAAAATCAGGTCGATGAACTCATAGTCGACTGATTGAGTCTAAAGTTCGAAATCCAATTCACTGATGTTTCACTTACATTAAAGCTCAGGACTTTTACCAACTTCCAAACAACTCCGTTGTGTGCACAGTCAATCACTATCGTGAATTTCATCATTTAGGGTCTTACCAAATTCATTTGATTTGTGACGAGTGCAAATCAAGACAGATAGTCACGAAAAGCTCATATTTTGAATGACTTGACATATTTCTTTCTGAGCCATTGTTTTTTAGTTTTTGTAGTTGTTTAATAAAACATTTGCGCAACATTTTCCCTCAATTTTATATTTTCATACGTAAATTCACAAACTAGGTTTTTATAGGCTTTTTGTGCGTTAAGAAAATCATGTATGATTAGATATTCAGATAAAGAAACCTATTTGATGACTTGAATAGATGGTTTCAACGATGTTGAACTGCGCTTATTTTACATTGCTGTACCACATATTGCAAAATAATATATAGGGAAATTCAAAACTTATTATAACAAAGGTGTTCTGTTTACTATAAGGTACCAAATTCCTTGTGTATATCGTAGAAAAGTCAAGTATTTTGTACTGTTTTTAAGGTATTTCAAGAAAACGTTTATTGTTTTACACGTGATTGTTCATCGACTGCCTTGTGATTAAGCTTTATAGACAGATAAAACCGAATTGGGTGATATATTGGCAAATACTTTGCTCAGAAGGGGCTTTGTGGAGATTTCAGTATTTTCATAGCTAAAATCATGAATCAATGCTGTTCTAACACTAAGCATTAAGTTTCGTATTTAGATTAGAATATAAAACTGTTAAATTTACCAATACTGCTTTTCTCCTTGATTTGGATAATTTCTATTTCGGAAATTGGTGTTTGCGAATTGTATTTTTGTGTCGTGTTTTTGTTTAATAAATCTAGTCATCGAGGTTAAGTTACATGATGCTTCTAAGGATACTGATTTTAACCAACGAGTTTGCTGGTGCTAAGTCACTTAATTGTAAGCATTTATTTTTTTGTAAACTTGTTTACACACTTTTCAGCACATTTCTTGCGCTACTAATTCAATGCACATATAGTTTGGGATACATTTCTCGGTGGTTTCACTTTTGATTTAAAAAAAATGGATTTACTGTTTTAAAAATGATAGTTCTGTGTAATAAGTTGCTGTATTGTCAAGTTTTTGTGCTGATGATATCAGTGTGTTTGTCATTTTATATGGTAACGTTGGTTATAACACTGTAGCCCAAACATAGGTAAGTGATTCTCACGCTTCAAATTTTAGCTTGTTGGATCTATTTTAAGCCTATTCAACACTTGGTTTTCTCATCTTCAATGGTCGCTGACTTTAAATAGCAGCAAATGCTTTATACATGATATATTTACCTTGTCTTCCTAGTAGCATAATTTTTGTCTGCATGTTTTTTTCATATTAACATTTAAGAATCAGCCGCCTAAATTTATTTGATCATTGTATTGTATTTGTCATTTCTAACATCTATGGATATATGCGTATATTTAGGCCTATTCATCCTTAACCTTGATAACCCTAAAATATCTACTAATGGTATAATGCACTACCCATTCATCTCTCATTTCATCCAAAAATTTGTAACTGGTTTTATTTATCAAAACTTCCCTGCAGATATTGAACTGAAACCAATCGAGCCTCCTCAAGAAAACCAGTGGAAAACCTGCGGTTGTTGAATATCGAGTCTGTTTATTCAGAAAATTTTTGGAAACCTGCAAAAACTTATATATATATATATATATATATAATAGCTATTCTCAAATGATCTTTAATTGTTTTCGAAGTTTTATTTCTCTTCACGATTTACTTCGGCAAACTTGGTCTGAATGTATTTTCGTACCTATAAAAATGATATATTTATATATGTGTACAGCTTATCTATTTTAATTTAATGAATTACCACTAAACTACAGTTTGACTTGAAATTTCTATTGACGAATTTGAGTTTGCTTCGCTAAAACTTTTAATTTCTGTTTTTTTTTTCAGGCCATAATTTTGTGTTTATTTACACTGTTTACACAACAATCTGTGATGCTTTCCTTTAGTAATTATAAGCACGTCAGTCTTGTATTAAACATCTTGGTGGTTAATTTCGTATATTCCTGTTTATATTTGCTGTGAAAACCGTGGTTAATTATCGATTTTACATCCTTTTGTTGTGCTCACGTAAAGTGTGATTACATACCCGGTCTTTTATTTGTTACAGAGAAGTTAATAAATCATAAAAGCTTCTTTTGTAAAGCCCAACGTATAAACAATTTGATGTTATCACTAGTGTCTGCTTTGCTATATATAAAATGCAGAAAATTACCTCGTCATTGATTCTGTCTCTTAAGGATTACTAGAAACTAACGCTTAAATTCTAACTGCACTACCTACTACTAGCTTCCCTGTTGCTCTGAAGGTGGACGAAATAAAGTTAGTCATAGACCTTGAAGTTCCTGAGCATTCACAAGCAATCTTAGATGTGAGGCAGGTGCTATAGTTTCGTGGCTTAGCGTAGGGTTTTCAACAATTTTTCGTTTCCTAAGGTCAACTGTCCGACACTGCACCGTGACTTCTGGAGTTCATTTAATGTCGATGTCTCGTTATTATCACTCCTGCTCGACAACCGGATAATTTGCTGAAGTATTGTAAACTTGGTATTTGTCTCAAGGTATCATTGAGCGCGTGCGTGTTGCCTATGTTGATTGCATCGAGGCACACCGCTACGAAAAACAACATAATCCCATGGACATTAGTGGCTTTTTTCAAAACCATGCATAAAATAACATGATACAGATTAAAGGAGGCTGGGGTATATATTAACCAAAAGTATTTATTGATGAGTAATAAGTGTGACAGCAGTTAGTTGGTTAGACCTAGTGTACAGACCAGCTCAAAAGTAATGATATTAAATTTTACTGTCTTTAGTACTGGTGTTACATCTGTTGTCAGGCGGTTCAGAGTGAGCGGTATGCTATTAACCACTTATCAGCTTTTTACAATATGGTTTGTAAGGGGAATTGAAACTGGTTCCTCTGTTATAACGTGTAGCCGAGTGAATGCCCTGTTAATTTTCAATGTGATAAAACTCAATCGGACCAGTGATATACGAAAACCGTACGAGCAGTCTAGAGTACTTATCAGTCCTGCCTGGCCCAGTCAGTTAAGTCCAGAACAGTCTAGCGGTATGAATCATTTGAAACATACTGAGTTTATATACCAGTCAAACTGACCGAATCGTACTAGGAAATAACGTATGCACAAGAATTAGCCAAATGTGACTGTGAATAAGGGAAACAGTAATCAAGAGACTGGGTGTAATTCATGAATGGTAAGTCGTACAACAATAATTCAAAATAAAGCTTATAATAAGGACACGAATATGAATAGATTAGTTGTTTAGCGATTATACGACAAAAAATATATGCATAGTGTTGTTTCATAAATAAATACCAAATTTACCATAACACACCCTCAACTTACCGAACTCGAGGATTACGTGACAAGCACGAGGCAGGACGAAGTATTAGACAATATAGTTGTTGTTTTAAGGTGGCGAGCATACAAATTTGCTTGGAAAGTTCTCAACGCCACTGCTCTTCGACCGACCGAGTAAAAGTCACGTAGAAATTGAGAGTTATAATAGCTCACAAGGATATTTTAGGATTGCGTGTGTGGAATGCTTCACAGGAAAGATATCAGCCAGTATAATTTAAGTATCAAAAGAAATTGTTAGTGAACTGAAGGCAGTAATGTATTCATGAATACAATATTGACGAATTTAAGTGTAAGTCAAACTCGCATGGCACTGGAAGATCGCCAACACTGTAATTAATAGACAACAGCTATAAAAAAGATAGAATAAATAAAATAGTATAGCTCAAAGATTGGGGTGACAATCATCACAGTAACTAGGAGTACGCACTTAGAAAACATTAGATTCTGGAATAGAGTGTAAGAAGCAGAGCTTGTCTCAGTTCTTGCTCAATAAATGACATGATCCTGAGTTTCACAAAAATGAGTACATTGGACAGTGTATGATGACGTGGCATAGGGGCTGTACAGGATCATATACATACATAAATCTAAAGTCCCCAGATGCCCTGGTACGGCCGATAGTGGGGAGGGTCCACTCTGTCTCTCGAAATGCTCTCACATGGTCGCGTATATAGCCTCTGCAAGGGAAGCCCTACTTATTGCCTTCTCGTGGCAAAGTGTGTTGTTTACGAAAGTGAGAGGACGAAAAGCGAATGTTCGGCGCTTTAACCGGGTTGGTGGACACTAAAAGTCCTCCTAGGGGAGTTGGAAAACCCTGATTCCAAACCAATGGCGCACATGGGCTCCAGTATCCTGAGGGAACAAATGGCGTATGAATCAATCGTTGGTCACCGACTACCAAGGGACTGCATCTCCTCACGATGCTCCACTGCCTTGTGGATCAGACCTTTATGTCAAAGGCTCCGGGCGTGGTCCCTTAGGAAAACCACCTGCTTCGATTTGGGCACACGGCCAGTATCACAGCCCACACACAAATAAGTGAAATGATGCTTTCTACTGACAATACTATTCTTGCTCAGACAATTTACATTATTGTTACTATTATTTACCACGTCGCTTATTCACTCCCTTTTATTCTTAATTTGTGTATCCTTACTTTTCAACTTATGCAGCAGCTCGCCCATGGTGGAAACTATGTTCTATCTAAACGGTCTCCAGTCACTGTCTGGTCGAAAGTGAATGCTTCTACCGAATACGAAAACTGAACCAGTCTTTCTGAAACGACGTACGCCGTTCAAGCTGGCTTCCTTCAACGTTCGCACACTAATGCAGATCGGACAACAGATAGGGCTGGCTATGTCTTTAGAAAGTCTTAATGTTGATGTTTGTTGTCTATCCGAGACCCGTATTCAAGACTCTCGTGAAGTACTACAAATTCGATCTCCATCTGTCGCTTTGAAAAGCCTGTTCCACGTACGTGGCATCTTTGTCTGGTCTTGCTGGCGTTGGTGTCGCACTAAGCGCCAGAGCTGAGGCAGCACTAATCGATCGGATCCCCATTTTAACAGTCGGTTATGTGCTGTTAGATTAGAAAGCTCCATCAAAGTGGGAAGAAATCGGAGTGAGAAACGATATCTTTCTGTCATCGCCTATGCCCCGACAGATTCCAGCCCGGATGCAATCAAGAACGAATTCTACCACCAGTTAACTGTTCTTCTCCATTAAGTGCGCTCGACAGATATTGTAGTACTAGCCGGAGATTTGAATGCACAGGTCGGGCGTCTAGACACAGAAGAGAGTCGTTTAGGTGGCCGATGGGGACTTGTTGGTCGCAGGACAGATAACGGGGACCGTTCGCTGCAACTGCGCACACACCACAACCTGTTTCTGGCGAGCACTAACTTCCGGCACAGTCATCTGCGATGTGCCACCTGGCGTCCTTCCTCAGCATCTCAAGCGTGGACTCAGACTGATAACATCGCGATCAGCTACCGCTGGCGTGGTTGTGTACAAGACTGTTGCTTCTTTTGGAGTACCTATCTGGACTCTGATCATGCCCTAATCTGCGCCATTCTTACCTTACTTTTCATTGGCCAACGAATTGACCGTCATCAACGGATCGATGTTAGTAAATTGGTTGCAAATTCTGTTGCAAGTAAGCGTCGAACCGAGCTAGCTTCTTGACTAGCTTCCATTGAAAAGTATAGATGAGCAATGGTTGTAACTGCATGACGCCATGAAAATGGCAAGCAAAGTCGCTTGCGGTTTCATGAAACATCCCGCTTACAAGCACTGGGTTTCTTCTGGCTCCTTACAACTGATCGAAGCCCGTCGGTCTACTCCGGGTGACCGTGAGTATGACCACAAACGAAGACTGTTACGTAGTGAAATCGGGCAAAGCTTGCGTAAGAACCGGGAAGCCTGGTGGTCGGAGCGTGCTAATGAGATGGAAGCAGCAGCTGCATCTGGTAACTGCCGGAAGCTCTTCCGACTCATCCGAACCACTGGCAGCAAGAAGTCTGGTGTGAGCGAAACAATCTGTGAGAGTGACGGGATGCTAATCACTAACATCTCTCGACGTCTTGGACGATGGGAGGAATTCTTCGAAGGGCAGTTCCTGAAACGTTACAAATCACCGGGCCCAGATGACTTACATCCGGCTCTTTTAAAAGATGGTGGTGACTTTCTGGCTAAGGAATTGACTGCGTTGTTTACAAAGGTTTGGTTGCTAGAGAGTGTTCCCACATCAAGGGATGAGTCAATAGTTGTCCCTATCTTTAAAAAGGGTTCACGTTGTTCCTGTAACAACTATCGGGGGATGAATCTACTTGCGATTGCGTCCAATCTACTGACTCGCGAGGAGCAGGCTGGTTTTCGTTCTGGTCCATGATGCATTGGTCATTTATTCACCCTCCGCCAAATGTTAGAACACCGTCATACTTATCACAGGCATACAATCGTAGTGTTTCTTGTTATCACGGCTGCCTTCGATTCGTTGGATAGGACTGTTCTCTGGGATTGTCTATTGAAGAAGGGTGTGCCTGAGAAGTTTATTAAAGTCTTAAAGGCCCTTCAGACAGAGTGAGGGCATACAATCACCTTTCTCTCATGTTCCATTCACGCAGTGAGGTTAAGCAAATTTGCCCAATCCCACCATTCCTCTTCAACTTTACCATCGATGACATTCTGGAAACAGCTCTGATAGATGTAAGTAATGGCGGTGTGGATCAGTTGCCTGGAGACAGGCTTCTTGACCTTGAGTATACGGATGATATTGTCTTACTGTGCGATAATGCCCAAGGCATGCAATCCGCACTTAATCAGTTGGCAATCAGTGTTCGCAGGTACAGTATGTGCTTTGCACCCTCCAAGTGCAAAGTACTCCTACAAGACTGGCAGGATCCTAATCCTGTACTCACCCTGGATGGTGAGCAGATTGAAGTAGTTGAGAAGTTCGTGTATCTAGGTAGCTATATAAGTGCTGGTGATAGCGTGAGTGATGAGATTGATGCACGTATAATGAAAGTCAGAACGGCTTATGCCAATCTGGGCCATCTTTGGCGCCTTCGTGATGTTATTCTGGCTGTAAAAGGTCGGATCTACAACACGTCGGTGAGAGCAGTTTTGCTCTATGCTTGTGAAACCTGGCCTCTCCGAGTTGAGGATGTTAGACGTCTCTCTGTGTTCGATCATCGTTGTCTCCGAAGGATTGCTGACATCCAGTGGCAACACCATGTTAGTAATGCAGAGGTTCGGCATCGTATGTTCGGGCGCAGAGAAGACAATCCCACATCGACTTCGGTGGCTTGAACATGTTCTACGAATCTCGTCCCAGAGAATTCCACGTCGTGTATTATTCGCCGACGACGCTGGGACTGGGTGGAAAAAGCGGAAAGGTGGTCAGTGTATGACATGGTGTCATGGTACGAAGGCTGCAAAGGGCTGCCTTCTGTTGATCCTTCACGACTCCCTGGCTGGGGTCCAAGAGATGGTGCAATACATTGGCTAGAGACGTTATCAGATATGGCTCAGTGGCGAGCAAGCTGTAACCTTCTCTCACTTTCTTCATAAAGAGTGGTTCTAACTTCCTTAACTGAAAGAGTTCTTCTGGTTGTACATTTCAATTTCTCCCATCATTACTTTTTTAATATGCATCTTTCCCCTTTTCTCTTTCCATTCTCATTGTTTTGTGTGGCGCATATATATATATCTGGTGTCCCCTTGTACCAATATCTATGTGTTTAAATAAATAAATAAATCATATACATTTGCAAATGAAGAAAATAGATTAGGCTTGATTGTTTATTTATGAAACCGTGAATACCTATGACGGGAAAACTACTGCGATTTCGAATGACTCACTCCTTTGAACAAAGAGCTAATGATTTGCACTACGCAAATAATAAGACCGAAATTGATTGCAGAATTGTTTCACCCTCAAAACCGCCTTAATTTTTATCAAAGTGCACTCATTTATTGATTTTACTGACATGATGACGAGTTAACATATATCACTGTTGTTACCCAATAATGTACAGGAGAGAAGTTGTCTTAATCTAGGTTGGAGTTCTGACACGATGAACTAACTGGTTTAACCATGAGGTTAGAAACGCACGAGTCAACGGAAATTGATGATT